CTCTCTCGCGGGTATTAGGAGTAGCAGCAAAATAATCAACTACACTGCTTCCGTTGTAGTTAACCGAGGTGAAATCTCCGAATATATCTCCAAGTGTACACCCATTTAGGATTTGTAGATTGTTGCATGCTAAGAAGTCCAGAAAAAGCGCTCCCCTTGAGTTGTGTATTTGGTCCTTACTAATTCTCTCGACCGACTCAGGAAAACTTATAGGGTAATTTACTTCCGGTTCATGTTCATCACTGAGCTCTTCTGGTGTGGTGTTTTTACCGGCAGTTCTTGCATTCAGATCACCTACCAGGAGTGTTTCTCCTAAATTGGGGGTTTTGGCCCTAAATTCCAATAAGAGATCTAATGTACTCGGTTCTGACAATCCTTTTCGTCGTGCTTTGTAAGAGGATTGTTCAGGGGAGTCATACACATTTATAATAGTGAATTTCCGACTATCATCTTGGGGGAATACAGTGATGGCCTGGAGATCCGGACATCCCGTTCTTAACAGCTTGACGTTCGAAGTGAGGGAACGGTGTACACCAATACATATGCCACCAGAGCGAGAGTCAGCTCTTAAGCTATTGAAACACTCGTAATTGGGAAGCGAGAAGTTTTGTTTGGTTTCTTGGAGACAGAAAATCAAGCTTTGCTGCAGGATTTCCACAAAATCACTGTCATTTGTTTTAAGGCCCTCTTCGCTCATCACGGTGTCGTGGATGTTCCAAGATAAGATCGGGAGTTCCGAGAGGATTTTGGTTTCCAGTCTAACATTGGGCTGCGATATGTTAAGAACGGAGGAGCAAGACTCGATTGTGCTAGTCATTGTCTCTGTCCTTATTTGTGTATCTTGAGATATTGAGTTTTCTTACTCTATCTCTATTAAGTCCAAGGGTTCTTTGCAAGGAATCCTTAACTAGCAGCCAGATTTTCCTTTTACCCTCAGGCGATAGGGTTAGTTCAATTCCATGACTTCCAACAGCCCTTGTGATAAGGTTAGCTAAATTGTCATTGCAGGAAGTGAAGATACGTTTTTTGTACTCATAAGTAAGCCTGATCGAGCTTATCAGGGAGGACATCATTTCATTGACTTGTTGTATCCTTTCGTTCAGGTACGGATATCCCTTGATGGGGATGATTTGAGAAACACAGATTCTGGTATTAGTTGTTTCTAGGAGTTTATAAATAAGCTGTTTGTACTTATCGTGTAGATCTTCAGGGGTTGTCTTAAGCCAGTGTAGATCTTGGAGTCCCACATGGAGAAAGACTGTGTCGTATGAGACATTCTTTATTTTTGCTACCAGGCCGCCTCTTGACAGGATATCATTTACAGAAAACACCTTGTATGTGTTGATATCAAACTGTTTACTGAATTTATCACTTTCGAATTCGTTCAGCTGGTCGTCAAAAACAAGAAGGCATCGTGGCTTTTTATTAGTGTCATTTGTGCTACGTGGTGGTGTCGTCTCTTTATTTTTCTCCTGGTGACTACTAATAGAACCATCACGGTGGCTGTAGTTTTTATCATACTGGTTATCTTTTTTGGAGCCGTCTTGCTTGGCAGTCTTTTTTCCAGCATGTTGGTCGTGAGCTTTCTTAGCGACGAATGGTGTAGGTAAAAGAACTTTGTTCGCTTGTGATGGAGTACTGATTTGGGGTTTTTCTTCAGTTTGGTCAGCTCCGCTGGGAGGAATTTCTTTGTTTTCCGGCTGTCGTTCAATCTTGTTAGCTGTAGCTAATACAACTTTGTTCGCTTGTGATGGAGTACTAGTTTGGGTTTTTCCTTCAGTTTGGTCAGCTCCGCTGGGAGGAATTTCTTTATTTTCCGGCTGTTGTTCAATATTGTTAGCTGTAGCCCTACAAGTGGTAGATCTCTGGTTTGGCGAGGGCGCTTCTCTGATCATAAGGATGGTCTGGGTTTCTTTGCTTTCAATCAGAGATGGTGATGTATTATAAGCTGGTTGATCTGTTTGACATGATGTTTCGGTATGAGTCCCTCTGTCATTTATTTTGTGATCATGGGGGTTTGTAGTTTGGGTTTCTCTGTTCATCATTTGTTTGGGTGGATTTGTAAGTAGAGCTTTGGAAGTCCCAACTTGTTGCTCTTGAGTCGATCTTTGATTAACAAGGTTGTCAAGGGTGCTTTGCTGAATCTTTATCATCTCTAAGAGGGATAGCACTTTGCTTTTCAGGTCTGACAACTCTGCGTCGACGCTTTTGGCTATTTGGTCTCTCTTGAAAAGTTCCAGCTGAGCTTGTTGATTGCTCGTTGTTTCTTGGAGCTTGAGAATACTATTCTCAAGTATTTTGAGGGGTTTTTCAAATGCTGGATTGCTCATTCCAAGGCTTCCAGTAGCTTGATTTGTTGGGTCTGGTTTTTTTTCCTCTGTTCTTCCGATTTTTGGTTTGCCTTTCTTGGGGACAAGTTCATGTGGTTCAGCAGATTCTTCTGGTGTGGTAGGAAAACACCTAGCAGTCTTTGAGTCTTGTGCAGACGGTTCATCGGTGTTTTCAGTGATTTTATCATCCTCTCCGTTCTGCTGAGTGGCATGTAATATAGCATTGCTATCCGAAGTGACATTAGCACAATTTCTCGTTTCTGCGGTAGTGTTAGCTGCATTGTCGTTAGTTTTCTTGGTTGCCCTAGTCTTTTTGTTGCTCTTGTTTTTCTTTCCCTTTGGGTTTTGTTTTTTGTCTTAGGGCTTCCGATTCTACTTTTTTCCAAGCAACAGGTTTCATTGAAGTCACTTGAGTTAAGAGTACTGAATTCATTATTGAGGTAGGTTTCAAGGGCGTTTTTACGCATTCTAGCACTTTGAGGCACCTCAAGACCCATGTTCATCAGTTCGGCAGTGACTGCTTCATCATTAAGTCTCTTGACAAGTTTATCGATTAGACTCGGCTGGAGTTTCACTTTTCCTTGCGAAGCATCCAACAGGTGGTCAAGAACCATCTTCCTGTTTTGTTCTGAAGTATGCGCTACTCTCATGTGGCACAGCTTCACCAGCTCGATGATTTTAGATTTCGAGTTTCGGTCAGCAAGTTGCACCAATGTTTCTTTACTCAGAAACAGTTTAAGAGTTTTGGTATCAATGAATGCCGCGTCCGGTGCCGACTCTTTCGAGGGGTCGATGGTGCTCTGTGTCTCCACACTCGGTGGGGCAGGAGCTGTCGTCTCCTCAGGATGAGAAGTATTTGAGGCAGTCTTTATAGTTTGTTCTGCTTTATTGGAGTCAGTAACTGTCGCCTTCTCAGGGGTAGACGAATTTATGACAGTCATAGCGTGATCTGCTTCTGCGGACTCAATTGCTGTCGTCTTCTCAGGGGTAGAAGTATTTGAGGCGGTCTTAGTTTGTTCTGCTTTATTGGAGTCAGGAACTGTCGCCTTCTCTACGGGGTCATTTGCTGTCTAATTAACAGGTTACAATAATTCACAACATTTTCAAAGTTTCTTCAATAATAGTACCAAATATTAGCAATCAGCGTAGATTTGAATGAAAATCTACTATTAATACTCAACGTGATCCACAAACCATAAAAATGTGGGACCGTTCAAGGGTACGTCGCGTAGAGTATCCGAAAAAATTTTTACCAAACACTGCACATATTTAAAGGATTTTTGCCAAATTTCTGGATATGAAGTATGTTTGGCTCAAAGTTAAATGTAATTTTTTGGCTCAAACTATGAACACTAGTCTCACACAGAGGGCCGGGTGTACTGTGCCGAAAAACTACAGGAAAAACAGCTACAGGAAAGAATCACTTTAAAAATTAAAATTACTGTTAGTACTCGAAGTCAATTCAACCTCAAACGTAATATAAGTTCACTCACTGCCTGTATTACTAGAAACAGTTTTTAGTCACCAGTTCAAGTCGAGTAGTGGCGTAACTGGTTACGTTGCCTGTTGGCGCCCCCCTCCCCCCTTAACCATTGTTAATGGTCTGGCCCGGCGCGCGCTACTTCGTAGCACTTGCCATCGACTTCGAGAAGAAAGCGCAGCGCGCGCTACTTCGAAGAAATTTAGAAGAGTAACATCCGCGTCAACCCCCCCCCCCCCCCCGCCAAAAATACGCTCGCGCTCCCTCCCCTTTTGGCGCCTCTCCCTAAAATAGGACAAATTAGGTGATTTTAGAGGATACGCCGGTAAAATCCGAGCGTACTAAATCACTCTACAGTCGATCTTCGAGATTGTTCTAAAAGGGCCCCCGACAGGTGAAACCAACCTCAATCGATGTATTTTCGGACGCTGATTCCGAATCACCCCCCATGACATAGGGTTAAAATGATCCCCTGACGAGATATAGGCGAAAAACTGTCTCGATCACGTGATATGACCGTATAAGGAAGTTAGTCTAATTTCTCGTTAGGGTTAGGGTTTCAGCATATGCTTTTGTTAAGGATTGGGTTAGGGTTAGGGTTGGGATCAGATAAGAGGGTTAGGGTTTCGAATAGTCGTTCAGGACCAGCTAGAGAACGGGTTGAAAAAGTCACGTGACAGTCGAGTGTAGAGTGATTAATTATCATCCGGTAAAATCGCCGGTAAAATCTCTTTAAAAAAAATTGTGTTTCTAGAGCAAAACGCGCAGTTTTGCTAGTAGTAGTACCTCAGTTGAGTTTTTCAAAAATGTCCCACAATCCAACGACGATTTTGCGCCTCCTTAGATGCCCCCCCCCCCCCCCCCCCCCCGCACAGTGCAAGTGGGGTCAGCGGGGCCCTTCGTTACGCCACTGCAGTTGAGCAAACAATTTAAAATTATACACAATCAGATATTCCATTCACAAAATCTTCCCGAAAATCATCAATAACGAATCACTTAACCTACTAATGTACTCAGTTCGTGATTGTTACTATCTAGACGTACTTATTTCGTTAGTAATCGCATTATTATATGTATCATAGTGTTATGCTCTTAATGCTTAAGTCAATGGTTACTCAGTAACTTTCACTTTTTGTCACTATATTATGTTTCTGACCAGAGTTGGTTTAAAAATGAAACAAAAAATGTTTAAAAATACGTTTTGAATATGTCCACACCAGGTGTCACAACAAGAATAATCGAGATGACCCTGTGAAGATATAAGGACAAGTTGGTCGTCACTTTCTAGTTTCTACAGAACTTCAGAACGCGTAAGACTGCTAGTTCAGGTTTACTGCGTCACCAAAGAGCAGCCACCTCGATCGCCTTTCGTAGAGTGTTTACCTCTGTTGTTGAGGACTCACACATTTGTAGCAGCCTGTTAGTGGAGAGTAAAAGTGGAAGTCTGGAACAAGTTAACCATGTATTAATCCTCCGACAGGTTTAAAAAAAAGTAAAAAAATCTCTTATTAGGAGGACCTCAGTATGGTGTCTATAGAGTACAGACTTACCTGGAGATCTCTTGTTTATTAAGTTTAACTTGATCACTGCACGACACTGGAACTTGTAGCTCCGTGAGGCGTTCTGTGCAGTCTGATATTGATATCTGGAACACATTAAAATCATAGTCAAATCCAGTGATTAACTATCAAGAAATAACCTTTCACTTTATCAAGTACTTGAGGGAAAATATCTTTTCGACGTAAAAATACTTTCCCAAATCTGCAGGAAATTGTTGAATTGAGATTTACCATAGCATTTTTAACGGTAGATGCCACGTATGCAGCGTTGGGGAAGAGTTCGTAGTTGAAGCAGTCTACCACTTCTAACACATCGTCATCCAGCTCGTCTATGTCCACCACTTCGTCGTCCAGTTCCAATTTGATCCATCCTTGGAACTCTACTACCTGGTAATTAACATCATGGCATCTATTATATATGAAACTTTTGTTTACCGGTAAAGAAGCATTTCAAAATGCCTAAAAATTATTGCTGGGATTTTACTGAATATGTATGTAGTTTCTTCAACAACTTTTTATAAGTTGATAAGATCAGTAGTGAATCAGAACATCAGTGAAGGTTTGAGAAATACTGGCCGAAAACTTTCTAATTTCCTATATCAGGGCCTGTATACTTCTTCTTTACTAGAGAGCCAACCTTTAGAGCATGTTCTCCAGGGAGTCTCTCCTTTATATTAAGTATAAGTTCCTCGATACTGCAGTTGGTACTGGGGGCTATGTGGTAATCATAAGCAGACTTTCTGAACCTCCTGAAAGAATAATTAGTTAAAAATTCATTCCAAACATCAATTCTGTCACCATGATTTTCAGATGTGACACCTGAAGTAAGACTAAGATAAACCATAAATTTCTTGGCTTCAAAAATAAATTACCAAAATTGTGGTGATGTATCAGATATACGACCCTTTATGGGTGACGGAACACTGTTATGTTTCTTTCCGACAAATAAAGTACCAATATAACAGTCAGTACAAACTTTGCCTGCAATCCTTAGTAAAAAGTTAATTCGTAGTAATCAGTGGTAATTAGTAACGTTACTTTTGAAACGTGATCAAACTTGAGACTGTTTGCTTAGCATCCCCTTAATCACAAGCCTCTAATTTGTATCCTTCAATTGATGCTCATTATGGTTTATTGCGGAATATTTCTAACCAGTCACAACCATTGAAATTGTGAAGTACTGTTCTTGAAACCCTTATTCTCAAAATATTTTCAAACTATCCAACTGCAAGAAGCACAAAAGGAACTGCCATGTGCTTACTGCTTACCTAGGGCCAAACCAAGTATTAATAAATTCCCGCTACCCAAGTGAAATTAAGACGAAAGACCTTAAATTGACCAGGATTGCTGACGACAAGCGCATTTTCTGACTCAGCGTATATAATAGATGTCTTTACAATAGTAAAACTGTAATGGTGCTTTTGGATATAATGTCCGGCCAAAAGTGAGCTTTGCCTATCCGAAATTTTGTTGAGTGCAATCGCTGCATGGCAATTTGTACCTTTTTTACTGAAAGGATTTGACTCCACGTCGGGCAGCGTGGTAATGTTGATGTTATTAAAGTTAGGCCAGGGGCATTTGATAAACATTCTCCCAATCTTCAAAGAGCCCACCAGTATCAGCCTTAAACTGCTATTTACGCCTTTACAGTTCTGTGTAGTGTACCTGAGGATCCCAGGCCCAGGCGAGGCTTAGTGTTCAATAACAATCCGATTGAAGATATGGCGGAGTGACAGACTGAGTGCCGCCCAGTAAGGTTCTGTCAATAAACTATAAACAAAAGAAATAAAAGAATATGATAAACAAAACTGACTTCAAGCCCACCTCGCGTCGCGTCGATCGAATTAATCATCGCATTACGCGCCGCGCGTTCACACAAGATGTCACACTAAGTTTGAGAGACAGGGTAGTTTTTATTTTACAATGATTTAGCGCCCTACGTCAACGTACTTCTTTGAGTGCGACCAAATGATGGCAATGCCAGTCAATAGAGCATTATTCATGCTATGCTTAATATTAGCCGATTCTTATTATAATTATACTGGAGTTCCAGATGTGATTTCGTATTCTTAATCATTCAGTGACAAAATATTACTCCCTACCGGCTACCGCCTTAGCTCCATACCAGCCGTGTTTTTCTTCAGACTTCATCCTTTCGTCTACTTCCTTTTTCACTCCTCGCAGGATATTGGCTATTGCGAATAACTTCTCTTAATCCCGACTTCACAAATTATTACTCACCACTGAGACTAGCGAGAAACAATGATTTTGGGGACAAACTTATACTGTATATATTATAACTTATAACTCTGTCAAAATATCGAAAGAATATGGGCGAAAAATATAATCCAGGAGGCAGGAGCCACCTGCCGGGGGCACCGGGCAGCCTACTTTACAACATCCAAAATTTTACGCATAAAGACATAAATTCAGGATACCAGGCTGAGGACGGTAATATGAATCAGTCATCTAAGCTATTAGATTATGATAGATGAACTATACCGATAAGAGTTTGGATAACTTTGTATAATTACAATTTGATCGATGATGCACTAACAGCGTCGGTGGTTGAGTGGTACAATTCTCGCCTGCCACGCGGGAGGCCCGGGTTCGATTCCCGGCCGACGCAGTTCTTTTTACTACAACATTTTATGTAAAGGAAAAAATATGTCGTTGTAAATTGAACTGTAATCTCGGGTAAATTAAACTGTATAGTAGTTCGACTAATTTTTTCATGAACTAATAAACGTTACATGAATGTTCGTCCTAAGGGTTTGCTTTGGCTTCTGAGTTAAGAGTAAGAAAGACTGACTTAAATTTATTTTACTAACCTTAGAGATTTGAGCTAAACAAAAGTTGAGAAAACCCTAAAATTTTGAGACTTTGTAAATAAAAGGACAATTGGCGAGCACTTACCGTTACGTCATACTTAGCTGTATCGTTGGTTTGATTTTAATCTTCTTTATTATGCTTCATTGATGATAAGGAAGTAAAGAGCAAGCAGAGCAAGTTGTTGTCAGTTTATTTTATTGTGATAAAATATATTCACATAATGTGCAACAGCGTCGGTGGTTGAGTGGTACAATTCTCGCCTGCCACGCGGGAGGCCCGGGTTCGATTCCCGGCCGACGCAGTTCTTTTACATGTCCTGTTTTAAAAAGTAGTCTATTTAAAATAACATCCCGCTTCATGTGTGCAGATCTAACTCAGCCCCCACTCTTCATTCCCCACCACCAAGATTAAAATACTATGACATAGTCGTAAGATAATATAGCGTGTAATTACCTGAAAGATAAGATAATATGGCGTGTAATTACCTGTAAGCTAATCTCCAATCCTTGTGTCCCCTCCTTACTTTTCCGACTAATCGTCTGATTATTGTGTACTCAGCATCTACTGGGTCCTGGGTGGTTTACTGTTATTTTAATGTTTGAGAGTACACGAGTAAACATGGAATTAATATAATATAGATGTGAAAGTGAAAGTGAAAGTGAAACCTCTCCAATAGAAGCGATGGCGAAAGATCGTAGCACGTGCTTGAAGGTGCGCTTATGCTGTGAAATAAAACGTTATTTAATTACTAACAAGATGAATCTATAGATATTTTATTTTCTCGTAGAATTATGAAGTTATGAAAAATGAAATGAAGTTTGCAAAGATGTAGAAATACATGATCAAATTCATGAATCAAGTAAGATCGTGCATACGAACAACATCATGGCAAATCACTTTTATCATCCTGATAAATAAATATCTAGCCGATGAAAAAAACAATATATTTCCGCATTTCCTGTTGTGATTTATTAATTATTCAATGAATGAATAATTATATTATATATTATTATTATTATATTATTACTATATTATATTATTACTATAGTAAAACAAACTTAAACATATTGCACCACATTATTGTTACATAACTTTTTGATAACTTCGTCACCCTCATTAATACCAGCCTGATATAAAGGATAGCAATGCATCATATAACGGGACACTATGGTCTTACAAAGGTTAACAAACCCTCATAACGTTCGTGAATCAATCACAATAATTGCTTGTCCCAAGTGCGAGCATGATAAAGGGACCATCTAGTATTTTCTGAGGTGTTGCCCAGCTATAGCACAACTTAAAGGCAAATATCTTCAAGACGTTCACCTCTCTGTCAACGACATTTTGGACAACCAACGAGTTACAAAGAGAGTCAAGTTTTCAGCTTACACCAATCGTCTGATTGATCCTGAGTAACTGGAGTAACCTTATGTTCATCATCCCCACGGGTTTCCTTCTTTTGTTTTCCAGACTGTTACCATAGCAACACTACCATATAAGGCAATGTAACCATAGCAACACTACCATATAAGGCAATGTAACCATAGCAACACTACCATATAAGGTAATGTAACGAGTTCCTTCTCATACCATTCGCTTCTTCACCTCCTATATTTCCTACGATGATATCACTGACACCCTCTTATTTTAGGGTTGCCACACCCTAAAATAAACAAAGCATCTACTTGTTATTCTCTCGTGGGCAACCCTGGTGCACGCTCTACTAAAAATAAATACAGCAATGAAGTCACGTGGCAGTCACGTGATAATACCCAGCCTCTCGTTGACAAAGACGGTGGAGAGATTCTAATACGGTTCTTGATTAGATAAATTGTAGTTTTTCTATCAGTGTTTATTAACACAGCTGAATATACCCCAACTTGATGTGGAACATTCGCTTGACTCTGGACCAAGTGCAGAAGGAATTGTTTCTTAACATAGGATGAGAACACGTGACTGGAAGATGAGAACACGTGACTGGAAGATGAGAACACGTGACTGGAAGATGAGAACACGTGACTGGATGATGAGAACACGTGACTGGAATTGTTACCGGCTTGTTAACCACGTGATCAAATCCTCAGTTCGAATTCTAAACAGCTAATCTCAGACCCGATCCTCACCGGGAGGACAACCCATCAAATGGTGTATAAACCAAATATCTTGCACCTAGTTACTATGTTGATATGAAGCGTAGGCGGGGAGCGCGCTGGCTCCCATATTGCATGCTAGTTCCACTGTGTGTTTTGTCACACGTACAGTGTCCAGCCAACGGTTCAACGGTCCTGTTTCGTGCGACAATCTTATTTATTGTTCAAGAAAATGGGGCAGCTGATTTAGCCAGATGATTTAATGTTTGAGCGGCTAAAAATCGTATGGAGGTGCTATTTTGGAGGTACCATTTTGGCCATTTCTATTCATTTTACTTGCTGTGTTGACTTAACTTTGGCTGTCTGTCAAATTTGAGGTCTAAGTTATTTACTTGGTTTAAAAAGGTACTTTACCAGTAACCGTCCCGTTTTATGCAGAGACTCACATATTCAATTAGCGGAAGTCTCTTTGCATTCTCATCCTCAGTAGGCAGCTGGAAACGGTCCCGGATTCGGGTTGCAGCGGTGCTGGGCGGCAGGAACGTGGGCACAGTGTTCATTGTCTTTATCTTCTCCAATCCCCGTATTTTACCTGCAATCTGACGTTTTAAGTGTCACGTGGTTTGTATGTTTATTATAATTTTGAGAAGGTAAAACGTAAAAACAGACGGAAAACCTGAAAGCAGGAAATCAAAACCAAAACCTCTGGCACTAATCCAAAAGTAGTAATCCACTGCTACTTTTATTGAACCTCGCAAAGACGTAGCACGTGGGGCTTCATTCCTCCATTATCTTTACTAGGAGGAAGTACAAAAATTGGTCCGGTCGTAAAACATTTTTATTAATTGGTCACATATGTAAATTTTTAAACATATCTAGGCTCGTATCAATCAAATATTCATGCTTCAAAGATTCCACCTCTTTATGCCTAACAGTTACTTCCTTGACAATATTCGGTCGCTTTTTTTCTCGAGTTTTTCCAAATATTTGTTAAAGACCATCACAGAAGACCAATTCTTCGATCATCCAGTGTTCTGTTGAACTATTTTTACAAATAGATCTTAAGGCGGAGCGTGAGTTTGAGACGAATTTAGCTTTCATTTTAGACTTCACGTCTCCCGAAATAAAACTGCGAACAAAGTGAAACAAGGAACTAAGTAAACTGTAAAACCAAATTTTCGTCACGCATTGGACTTTATCAAGGTTACTTAGTTCCTTGTTTCACTTTGTTCGCAGTTTTATTTCGGGAGACGTGAAGTCTAAAATGAAAGCTAAATTCGAACTATTTTTAGACACAATTTCCCAGCGTTTCTAAAGGATTAGTCATTAATAATCTGACTACAAGATACCTATCTAGCTAGCTAATTAGATTTATTTAATAGTTCAGTGGACACATTCGATTTATTATGCTATATTAATGTATAATATTGAATTAAAAATTGACTGTAAGGTAAATATCATAGATTTGTAGGGGGTTCAGCACGTAATCATTACGGTACAGGTGTACTGACTGGACCTTTATTTACTGGCTTAATTATAAGTTGTCTTACACAACTTAATTATATTTCTTATTAATAACAATAATTATGTTAATGTTTACAACTTAATTATAATCTTATTAATAACAATAATTATGTTAATGTTGTGCAAGAAAGTTGTAATCAACCCAGTAACTGAAGTCCCAGTCAAGTACATGGGTCTAAAAACCCTGTAAATTAATGATTATAATATCAGTATCACTGATATTTGATTGAGGTGGAGCTTAGTAACAAATCTATTTAATATTTACTTTACACTTACAGAAAGTAATAACTTATTATCTAAATCAATCGTAATTATGGCTATTTCCAAACTAAAGTTTGCCGTTTTACACCAATATTTCTTATCAAACAGTTGATATCTTCACTTATTTTTAATAGTTCATAATGCCAATAGGATTTCATGGATTGGCGTCTACCAACTACACATCGATTTTCTAAACAGGCAAACAAAAACCGGAGATATTCGGTTCTCAATTATCCGCATTCCAAACTGGATAGAAATGAGGCAGACACGGCTCTGTAAATAATGATCATAGTATTTCTAGTTCGGGCAGTAACTCAACTTGAGATTGGACGTGGCCGTCTTTATTTGGGTAATACACCTGATGTTGCGACCAATTTGATACTTATTGTTACATATTGCGTAGTACCATGTTGCTATCCCCATTGCTGCGTTTTATCCAAGTTCTGCAAGTCTAAAGACTAAATGGGTAAATGATTCTAACTCAGTCTTAGTTCTTTGGGAACTTTAGTAAACTCATCTTTACGAATTTCATATTTTCGGTAACCAACCGAAAATTTCGTGCACTGCACGAAACCAGATCCATTTGATCTGGTTCATTTTGGAAGTTCATTTAGCAAGTAAGTTAGCAGAGCAGTCAAGCCAGTGCGCTCACATATAATTGCAGCTGAAACAAATTGACATTCAATAAGCAGATCAATTATAATGGCAAGGAAAATGCAGGCAAATTGATATATAATAGGCATTCAGATGAATTCCGAGAGAAATTCCCAGCGTGATTTCTGCGCAATTTGTATAGCTCATTATAATTATATATTTATAAATCGATTAAATTTAAATAGTAACGGTTACAATTCCCTTCAATTATCGCCAGTTCAAGTTCTACTGCGTAGGACGAACTTTGTAAGAGTTTTGAAACGCATTAGTTATATAATATGTTTATTATATATAGTATATTAGTTATATATTAGACATAGGTAGGTAGTTTTAAACAGGTCAACTTCAGATCTCTCAATCGCTGTAATGTTACCTGTTCCAGATTAAGTTTCTTTTCCACCAGATATCGTAGGAAGGAGGTAAAAGCAAAATCTATTGATCTGTCGTTTTGTTTAGCCGACACGGGTACCCAACCTAAAGGAGATGTTGTTAGCTACTAGTTATATAACTGCTTGTTTTGATATTGTGTGAACTGGTGGAGAGGTTAACCATATTATATTTGTGTGTGAAACACGTGACATTGTGGGTTTTGATAGTTCACTCTGGTTAGTTGAAACACTTACTTTATGTAAACACAGTCACGTGTTCTCCCCCAGTATCCAGATCTACGATACCAGGAATTGTAAGATACCAGTTTGTAGTCAGTAAGATAACAAATCAACACTTAAGATTGAGACAAACAGTAAGACGCCGCGCGGCTAATATTGATAAAACATGACGCAGTCTCTAACAGCTCCACCAATTATTTGCCAAAAAGAGGGGTCACTTCCGGTTTCACAATCCATTACCACTGTAGCACTGTGCAGCTCAACATTTAAAACTTCAAGTCTTTACAAGGTTCCATGTTGCTTGTTAATTGCTTGTAATTGGTAGTGTGACTGTTTGTTAGATGTCACATTAAGTGATCACAATGCATGAATATGGTGATTTTGGCGCTCTGTTTTGCCATCCCTCTCTTACCCACTATAGGTGCTCAACTGCCGCCCTTCCGATTGAACTTTATAATTGTTTTAAAGCGAATGACCAAACTTTCGGTTGTTTTTGACTGGTTCGGGTCGGTTCGGGTCTAACTTCATTTGCCAAACGTTTGGGCAGAAAGATCAGGGTTTCGCTAATCACTAAAAGCACCACTTCAGGGACGTCAATAATTCGATTATCTAGTTAAATCCATGCTCCATCCATTTTGTTAAACTGATCACTGATTGTGAAATTATCAAGTTAATGATTATTCAATGTAGCCTATATCAAAAACAGTTCATAAACTATCATGCAATTAGATGTCAGCCAAAAGATGGTGCACGTTGGCAATATGTAATGGTGAGTAGCGGATACTGAGCTAGTATTATACTGCTGTTTGTCGGATATGTTTGCCACTTGTATTAAGATACTGAAATTTTTTAACCCAAAACGCACACCCTTATCAGTATGTATTGCTCCTAATGACTGCAGTGGTCCGATATCCCAGACACTAGGCTTTTTGACATGCTTGTCACGATTATTTAACGTAACAGCTGCACTAAGATGCACACATTGTTGGGTTTACAACTTCAATTAAGATTATTGAGTAGTTTTCTGTTAACGTTCAGAGTAAAGCCTGTCTTCTATATGGACCATTTACCGTTCACGTCATGTCTAGCTGGTGGAACGGTATTTCACTACAAGTCTCCCAATCACCGACATCTTTGACATTGAGGCTAATCTTTGTAGAATAATTGATCATATAAAACATTGATATTCAGTGATTAATGGTCATTGTTTTCTTTGTATGTTAAAAATGTCATTGGTATAATTAAAATCTAGAATAAGAGTAACCCAATGGAATGAAGAGGTCACTCCTAATTATGACGAAGTTTAGACTATTTACCGTTTAGAACAAAGATACTAAGATACTATAAACGTCTCTGCAAGCCTGGTTAATGAGATTTCATCTTGAAGATATCCAACATCCCCAATACAACGCCGAAATACCTTGTTTTCAGATACGTCGTTCGAGAATGTCCAATGTGCAATTGATTCAGCTTCTTACTTCTGATGTATTATCATCATCTTCAAATATCTTTTTTAACCTTCCGTGTTTTTAACATTAAACGTACAACTAAGCTAAAATTTTGGCATTTTTACCGAAATCAGACATAGAAGATATTTTAAAGCCCCATTATATGCACGTTTCTCGATTGGTAGATTCGGTCGGGATAGACGAATCGGCTATAAACGAATTGCTTGAATGCTTGGGGGTGTCGACAAAATTCAACATCCAATGAGAAAGTATATGGCAACAAGGACATGTTTTTAAAAATTTGCGTATCGCTACCATACATTAATAAAAAAAAGGCCAAATTTGTGAGCTTCTTTAAAATTAACGCTTTGCACACAGCCAGAACTGGCACACAGCCAGAACTTGATAACCAGCCATGGTCTAGGTAGTACCTAATAAATACCTTAACAATAACATATTCAATATTCAGCACCGTGGTGTCTGCTAAGATTTAGCAGACACCAGGCAGCCTTACAAAGAGATTAGATCTCAATCAGATATTTGATATATCCCTACTGTAGTACTGGTGATTGATCATTCAGATCAAATGATCAAAGTTTATTAACATTGATATAAAACGAATAAATCTGTTCTCAAATAAATTTGCTGGGATCGGACGAGCTGCTATAAAGAATTATCAAATAGCGAAATCAGTGGACAAATATTCTGTATTTACTATTAGTGGTTTCCTTGTCTGTACTGTAATACAACTCTCAGCTCATTTATCCATCTTGCATAGTCAAATATGCAGGCTTATAGCCTTGATAACTTGATAACAGAAACCAACATATATTTGATATTCAATCTTATAGCGATCGTTAAAACTTTACAGGTTATGAGCCTGACAATAAGTAACAAGTCCTTTTATTTTTCTATTTTATTGCTACACTTCGTCCCTATTTGCTCCAGATCACCAGTTTGTCTTGCCTTCCGGTTCTTGACTTCTTTAAAGATCAAGCTTTTAATAGGCTCTCAACCTGAACCAATGCAGTGTTAATGGTTACCTGACCAGCCTACAGCTTAGTCGTACTTAAAAGTCCAGCCTGGATTGGGTCCTGACAGTAGAGTTTGAGATATGTTTTCAAGTGCTGGTCATAAATCAAAATTCAGAGCTAAAGTCACCAATGATCCCCAGTAAAGCGCGCTATCTTGCCTTCGTTTTCTCACCGACATGATACTATTAGGGGCTTGGGGGGCTTGCCGCTACACGCATTAAAGTCATGGAGCAACTCATTTGGTGGTCATTTGGGCGTTTTTTGGTTCGTTGAAATCGTTATATATTGAGTATTTTTGTTTAAATATTTTTGGAGAGGACTAATCTTGAAGATTCGGGCGATTTTACATGATCATACGAACCTAAACGGTTGCAGATTCTTTTGAATCGATACATTATGATTCAAAAGAATTTAAGTTTGCGCCGGGATCATACGTTTTGCTCACTAGATTACAAAACTCAAATAACAGCGTTAGATTTAATTAATATCTCACTTTATCCACGCTTTGATTTGAATATTTAACTTCCAAGATATGTAACGGAAGTAAGCTGGTAGATAATCATGGAACAAGTTCGCCCTTTCTCCCTTTTCACCCCAATTAAGACCCATATCCCCTTGAGGAGAAGGCAAACAAAGCCTCTTAAAGTACCCTTTGTTCTTCTTCTTCCTGCTGTTGCTACCTTTTATTTTTACCTTTTATCTCAGTGCCTGAGTAGTATTGAGGTTTAGAGTACTTCCTCTTTTGTTTATACGGTCTATGTAAGTAAGTGCTAATTATTGTTGTTAATATTATACCCTTTTAATGTTACCCTTGAAACCACTCCAGTGATCAAAGGGCAAGTTTTCTTACTTTTTTGCACACTTCACAAGTTATACTCACAATGATTGTGATATGTACTTGTAACGAACATATTTGTCGGCATTTGCATCAATATACCAGCCTATCAGGATCATTATCTGCAACTACGAGACCAAAATCTTATATAGCAATTTATTAATTAACTTTAACTAATCCCATCATTTGCTAGACAATAGATTTAAATAAGATATCATGGTTTCAGATCACGCAAAACGGCACGTGACGGCGAATTTCTTTACAATTATGTTCACGGGTGTGTTTGTTTTTAATCAGCAGGCACCTTCGTGACCTGACAATAAACACGTACCACACTACCATTCTTTGTACTTATTTATAAACTCACTACAATAACTTTAAATATATGTGTGATTAAATCCCTGACCCCATCCATAACAGGCACATGCCACAGTTCCATTCTTTGTACTTCTTTACAAACTCACTACAATAACTTTAAATAACTACAATAACTTTAAATAACTACAATAACTTTAAATCACCGAGTTCAGCGTGCGAGGTTGCAACTTTATTATCTGTATTATAATGGAATACTAAAGTCATGTTTAACTCATATCAATGCTGGTCGCAAGTACCGTTTGCTTGCCAAAGCTCGCCAGGTCCTCCGTTATCGATATATTTTTCTTCATAACTTTTAAGTTCAGTTCGAAATGTTTCAAAGTTTTCACATGACGCCCAGTTTCGTAGCTTGGTAGACAATTATACTGTAATATCATGATTAATATTGATTAAATTGTAACCATGGGAACGAAGCAGTTCCAACTGCCTCCCACAGTCACCCCCTCCTAAAATATCCCTTCTCAGTCTGCTCCCTAAACCACATACAGTATCATTTTCTTCTGGTCTGTACTGTATGGCAGCGCCCATATTGTGTAAGTTAATCAACATGATGAATTAATAATTATCTAACTTATAATCACGCGACCAAATGCTGCAATATGAACCCCATCTTAATATCCTTTAGAAATAATATCTTTCCCTTTCGCTTTCTTCTTTCAATCTTCGGTATGGAACCTTTCTTGGACTTTGTTATCATGGTTATTTTTCATCCATGAACCTGTAATTCCTTGCGCTTTGTTTTGTCATGTTGCGATTATAAAAAGTCTTCGACTCTCCAAGTCGATGTGAAACATGGGAAAATTTGCAATCATGATTATTAGAGCCACATTTAACAAGAAATTGTGTCGAATATGTCTATAATGCAAATGGGCGGACGCTTTATTTCCACCACTGCAGCTTGCAGGTTGATCAAATTGCTCCTTTTGTCCTATTAGAATTTGTAATATGAGAGTAATCATGCTCTCATAGGTTGCTGCCACCCTAGGTTTGAGCTACGAGTTAATAACACGTGTCAGCATCAACATTCAACGTGACTATTTGTAGGAAATCGTGGTAAATTCCCACGATGCTGGTCCTATAGTGAGTCTTGTGTTGAGTAGTTTGTTTTGACAGTGCCATTACAGGATGTTACGAGTAATAAATTATGCTCATATCATTTTCTCTGGACACAGGGAGTTACGTGCACGGCTAAGAGTTGATAATATGTTTTAGTGTTTGTGTTTTCCATTTCCTTACGATCCGCCAAACTCTTATTTTTGTTTTTATTTTTCAATTTCTGGTTAACCAACCTGATGGTAAGACAAAGAATACTCAATAATTATGTAGATAAATGGAGATCATATCTAGTTGTTGAATGATTAAAGGTGAGAGGTCGGTCACTTATCAGGACCTTATCAGGACCATAGTTCTTCTCCGACCCCTGACATCACTACAGTCTGATAGCGATATAGTTGTAAGATTTAGAGTATCCTACTGATCACAATGCCCGCACATCTTCTTGCAGTACTTTTTAGCAAATTCAGGGTACTCACAAAACTTTTGTTCACAGTGACCATGCTGATTTTCGCAGCCATCCCCACACATACCACATGATTTCCGGCACCATTTCTGCGCAACTTCGTTATTGTCCGGTGAACAAAAATCTAGAAGCTCATGACAGTTTGAAGCTCTGTCCTTACATTCTGGAGTAGGAGCTGGAGTAGGAGCGGGAGTAGGAGCCGGCTCCTCTGTCGGTTCATCATCTTCAGGAAGGTAGTCAGTTGCCTTATCATTTCCTCCTTCATCAGGCACACCTGTAGCTTCAAGTTTAGCGTAGCTGCTGTACTTGAAGAGTTCACAGTTGTGATGGTGCCGAGCCATCTTGATGTAGCCTTGGTCACCCCAGTTGGAGCCCCACGAGTTTCTAACTAGGACGTATCTCTCAGTGTACCCAACTCCAGTAACACCGTGATTTATACCCCCACTACACGAGTTGTCAGTGAGGATACCACCCCCGTATTGGGAGAATCTGCTGGTAACCTCCAGAGCCATGGACAAGGAACCCTCCCCCAGAGCCTGTATGTTATCATCCTCGCTAGCACCGACTCTAACACTTCCCATGATCTTGTAGGCTACTGCTGCATCACGAACAGAGTCACCCCTACAGGCTTCATCACTAGCTTTGTACGGGTAGTCGCTGGTAGCAGCGAGTCTGCCACCTTTCTTAGCCGAGTACTCGTATCCGTTATCTGGCCATCCTCCATTACAGCCGTTCTTCTGTCCCTCGTACGTACAGTCAAGATATTCCTGCTCGGCAAAGTTCCTCAGCTTCCCTGATTTCTGCTGATACCGGGTCTCCAGTCCCCCTACTGCTGCAAAACTCCAGCAAGAACCACAGCCTCCTTGATTCTTTATAGCTGTTACTGCTCCTTCTGCCACCCACAGTTTCTGCTTAGGAGTGTTTACTTGGGAGGAGACAATTGGAGAGATATTAGTGTTGGGAAGATGCCCTGTAGCGTTCAGTCCTAACCACTGTTTCTTTTCATCGTCCGTCATGACGGAGAAGAAGTTGAGTTCGTACTGAGCAGTTTCTCCAGGCTCAGAGTTAACAGCAGCAACCAGTTGAGCGTTCTTTTTAAGAGTCTCAGCCGCATCCTGTCCTCATTGGCTTGGTAGTTGAGGTGTTGTAGTGCCTTGTAATCACCGTAGAGTTTCAGGGTGGCTGCTGGAGACCGCAGGACATCTGAGAGAGGGACATTTAATGAGAGGGCAGTTCCAATCAGACAGAGTGCTAACAGTACTTTCATCTTGGAGAGAGAGAGAGAAAGAGGGGGTGTTTCAGGTTATTGATGATGGTAAAATTATTTCCTTAGTTTATATATGCTGAAACGCTAGTCCAACAGGTGGTTGATTAAGTTGCATTAATTTAATACTGATCTCAGTAAACAAAAAATTTGTCAGTTTGATCTTATTTGTATTTCATCTTCAGCCCGAATTTTCACCTAAATTGTGCATCACATTACTAAATGGTTTAACACCATCTTCATAACACAGTTGAGTTGTCAGTTCAAACAATGGGTCTGCCTGGAGGGAGTTATTTCAAACAATGGGTCTGGTTTTGAACTCTCTGTATTTTCTGAGAAAGAATTCTCTGTTAGCTGAACTCAACAGATTTACAGAAACAGAAATTTATTTCGCAATTGCGGACAAAAGTAACTTCTACGTTCTGTTTGATATGATTAAACCGTCAGAAAACGGAACCGTCCACTTCAATAACACTTGAGAAATAAGACAATGGTGGAATTTTACTAAACTTGTAAAAGAATTCCGTACCACGAACTCCGGTTCATTAACCATTTCATCAACAACAGAACTGCGACAGAACTGCGACAGAACTGCGACAGTACTGCGACAGTACTGCGACAGTACTGCGACAGTACTGCGACAGTACTGCGACAGTACTGCGACAGAACTGTTGTACACCCGTCTGATCACATAGAGAAAACAGCTTTTTGTCCTCAAATGTGCTTTACAATAAGGCTCAAGTTATAAAATGACTACCTTATCGGTCATAATTATCACGGACATTACGTTCACGCTGAAGACCTTAATGTGAATAATTATGTCCATGATAATAATGTCTGTGGCATTAAGGTCCGTGAATAATAAATTCTGGTAAATATTTCCATTAATTTTAGTGTGTGTGTCCCTACATATGCGTAGATATGTGTGTAGCTGATTACTACATAGCTTATTAGTATACTAAGATACTAGGACAAATATAATCACTCCTCAGTCACATCATAGAGTTCGGAAAAAGAGTAAAACAGTTATCAAAATCACCAAAAATGTTCACAGTTTTTTGGACATTTTTGGGCGGCCATGAGCGTGAATAATTATGTCCGTGAAATATTTGGTCCGTGAAAAAGTTGTCCGTGATAATTATGACCGATAAGGTATTATCATGTGTTTAATTTAAAAGCATTTTCCCAGCTACGACTAACGATTGTTTTTTGTCATTAACGACAACAAACAGTCGTTAGTCGTTAGTTGTTAGTCGTTAGTTGTAACTGGAAAAATGCATTTAATTTAACATATAATAGTCAAAAATTGAGTTCAAAGACATATTATTGTTATTTCGTTATTGTATATAATAATAATAACAATGCACAGTTCCTGATCAGAATGTCTCTTAAAAATGAGAGTACTATAAACTATTGATTATTGTTTGATTATCTGTATAACATGTCTAAAGCAATATCTTCCTGGAAAAGGAATAGACGACAGGAATTATGCAAGATTTAAATCGGAATTCAGACAGCATGGTCAATAACAACATGGTTAATAACAACATGGTTAATTGATCAACAAGCTCGTTGGCATTAGTATTTACTAATACTAACTTACTTTTATTACTTTTGTTGCGTTTAGCGCACTGCAACAGGGTCATCAACTATCTTGACCGCCCCATAGCATAGCTCCGATGTTACAGGATCCTTTCGCCATTCCAAGATGGAGTTGGTATTAGGGGATGTGTATCCCTTGACCGGAGGCTGATCAGGGATCTGCCGGAACAAGGATGTAAGTTTTATTTTGAAGGATTCAAATTCTTCCATCCTGTTGATGTAACCAGGAAGACAATTCCAGAGACGTGGGCCAATAACAGCGAGTAAATTGTCATAGAGACTCTGGTGGTAAGCAGCAACACCCTTTCGTAGGGAGGGGACAACTGCTTTAATGCCAGTTCCAGGTCTTGAAGTGAAGTTAATCTTCAGATGGTTGCTTAATTATAAATTTTACTTATGATGTTACTCTCTTGAGTCCCGGACACTGCTAAACTGGTATGCAGGTGGTACTTTCTCCTGGACACTGCTAAACTGGTATGCAGTATCCATAGCAAGTAGCATCGTTTTGCTAAGAAAATGCACCCTTTTCCAAAAGCCATTATAACTAAGGTTTGACAACTGACATCCTATCCGTCGGTTATGTATCCTCAGACGGGACACACAATTGATTGCTTTATTAAATCTATTGTCTTTGGTGCTATACAGAAATGGCCTGTAAAGCAAAAGGGCCGTCGCCAAAAAGTTGATTCGATTGAGCTGGCACATGCACTTATTGCACCTTGTAGTATTTTTGCTATTCCAATTATTTGTTTGTAAAAAGGTTTTCAATAGGGTTATTGATATCATTGTTCTTGACGTTGTGATACTGAATTGACCTGTGCAAATTGGGCCATACCGTCGCCGAAAATTAATTCGATCGAAAGAGACACCTTGAAGTATCTGTTAAACTTAAAGCTATATATTGCTTTTGTTATGTAAGTGGTTTTCAATAGCCTTTTCACTTTATTGTATTATTTAAGGAGTGCTCTATTTATTAAATAACTGGTATAATTATATTGAATAATGATATAAGAGAAAAACATTTTCTTAATAAGTGATGCCGATCCGGTTCCACTGTTAAATAGCGCAGAGGCGCCTTAAAGTGCTCTATTCTTTAGAGAAAAAAAGACGTTTGCTTAAATGAGACGTATTCGATCATAATTTTAAATAACGAATATGATATTCCTACCGACGTTTTATTATTTTTTATGGATAATTTTAATCGATAAGACAAGAGGCAGATAAGCCTCTGGGCCTTACTTACATTAGCCCAAACTCGTACTAAACGCTCCCCATTTCGTAAAAAGCTGGAGATAAGTGGGTCTTCGAAACCCTTTCAGACTTTTTGTATCTGGTTATCTGTATGTAATCTCCTGTTAACCCCCACCCCCCCCCCCCCCCCCCCCCCCCCCACTTGCACTCCCACCACTTTATTCTATTAACCCCCTAATTCTACCCTTAGGAATGTTATGGCTGTTGGTGTTGTTACATAGCTCATTGTTATCAGCGCAGACCACCCCAAACACATCAGAAACCACGCTCAAAACTGCTGAAAACTCTCAAGATACCACCTCCTATACAATCGGGTTCCTTATCGGAAAACGGAACACTCATAAACAAGTCATAGATCGGCTCATACCCTACGCAATAGAAACGTTTAACAACAATTCAGCGGGGCAAGTTAAGTTAGAGGCGGTGGTTCGGTTCTATGATGAGTACTCCATGCACAGCCTGATAGAGGCGTCCTGTAGTCTGGTAAGTGAAGGTGCTGTAGCGGTCATCTCCCCTGATGGCTCCTACAATATAGGCACACAAGCTGACTTGCTGGGGGAGCTGAATATCCCACTGATCTCCGCGGTGGCAACAGATCCCCACATAAAACGGTCCTCACGGACCAGCCTGCTCCTCATGTCACCTGGTGATGAGTACCAATCTAATGCCATTCTCGACCTCCTGCAGTTCTATCACTGGCATGAAGTGTCTTTAGTGGCGTCTGACACCAACTACGGAATCAACGGAGTTAACTTCTTCCAGCAGCTTCTAACTCTCAAATCTGGCCTGGAATTTGTCATCAAATCGATAACATTCTTCAACGCAGTAGGTCACCCAGATACAATGGGGTTCAGGAACACCCTGCAAAACGTTAAAAGATCCCTCTCTCGAGTCATTATATTGAACTGCGAAGGTAGGTACGGGAGAATGATTCTAGAGCAAGCCAACGAGCTCGGTTTGTTTGAAAAGGGTCACGTGTGGATTGTGACGGATGGAATCACCTCCAGCCCTCATGCACTGTCTTACGAGAACTACTATCCAACATATTATGAGGGCTTGATAGGGATATACCCATACATTGACACTACTTCCAAGTCTTACAAGGTGTTTAAAGACAAGATATTATCAGCAGAACGGAACCTGACAGCGGCTTCTCTAGCACCTCACGTGGTACTCACTTACGATGCAGTGCAGATTCTAGGTGCTGGACTCGAGGCATCTGGCTCCAATCTCACTAAACAGGACTTGGAGTGCAGCAGCACTGACTCCTGGTCCAGTGGAGAGGGGTTCTTCTCGTCCTTGCTGGGTAAGAATCACGAGGGAATAACAGGAAATGTGTCATTCACTGACGAGGCTCTCAGGGACAAGGCGGCTTACAAAATTGTCAACTTCGTGAATCCTGGCCTGTTTGTTGATGTGGGAAGATGGACTAGCGATAAGGGGCTCATTATGTACAACGATGTGGACTCTACCTCGGTTCAATTCCTTGGGGGAGTCAATCAACACCCTGTAGGAGTTGCTACCGAGCTTCAAGGCTTGCATCTGAAACTTGGAGCAACGACCAACCCACCATTTGCTTATAAAAAAATAAACTGTACAAATATCGATCCGAACAAGTGTTGGGAGGGAATCACACCCGACATTGTCGCTGAGTTTTCAAAAGAAATGAACTTTACTTACGAATATGTCGAACCAAGTGATAATGAGTATGGTTATCTGAACCCACAGACTGACAAATGGAATGGAATGATAGGTGATATGCTAGAGGGCAAGACTGATATGATCACAATGGACCTGTCTGTGAGTTTTGAGCGCAAAACACATATAGACTTTACTGTCGCCTTCATGGACTCTGGAATAAGTCTGGTTATAAGGGGAGAATCCAGCAAAAGCAACTCCTTCTTCTTCCTGAGTCCGTTTGAGCTGATGGTCTGGACGATGATCTTTGCTGGATTTATAGCAATGTCGCTGATACAGAACTTGTTTAACAAACTGTCCCCCTACGGAGAGTACGGCCAAAGAGTCCACGCTATGCAGACCTGCAAGTGTGTCAGGTGTGCTATCAGACGACGAGCCAAGATTGAACAAAACATCAAGCTGCGTGATCACAGGAACATAGAGTGCATGATCGCACTAGCAGCGGACGATAGGAGAGATGAGATGAATTTCTACAACGCTCTGTTTCTAAACGCTGCAGGGTTTGTGGGCCACGGCGCTGAGTCCATGCCGAAGAGCCCCTCTGGACGCCTAATCCTTCTAACGTGGTGGTTCTTTGTCCTTCTCATTATCTGCATGTACACTGCAACTCTCACAGCATTCATCACACTCGACAGAATAGGTATAACAATAGACAATGCCAAGCAGCTCCTCCAACAACACAAGTACTCATGGGGCATGCTCAACCACAGCTTTGTGGAGGCGCTTCTCAGGAACAACATCGACCCAGACTACGAGAAGATAGTGGACGGAGCTCTCAAGCTACCCAACATGTCGGAAGGAATCAGGAAGGTGAAGCAAGGTGGCTTTGTGTTGATAGACGAGACTCCTCTCATATCCTACGATCTGATGGGAGAGTGTGACATGTTCTACATTGGCGGAGAGATTCAGACGTTTGACTACGCGTTTGGTCTTCCCAAAAGCTCGCCCTACATCGCCCTGTTCAACACACAGATTATAAAGCTGCGAGAGCAGGGATATTTCGACGGACTATGGAAGAAATACGACCGAACTCCCGACCACTCCTCAGATTGTGACAGTCACGTGACCGGGGGAAGTACTGCTCTCAATCTCCTCACTCTCAAGGGTCTCTTCTATTTCCTCTGTTTTGGGATATTTGTCAGCATGATAGTTTTCTTCTTCGAGCTGGTCGTTGCTACTTCTAAAGACCCTCCCGACGACAAACACCGGACTTTTTGGGGGAAGTTTAACAGGCGGATCGGACTGAAGATAGAGGACGTGAGAACTGAATGGTTTAGTTACCCCTACTCCAAGTTGCAAAAGATTGACGAGGAAAGGGATGGGATAAGTGAGAACGGAACTCCTCCTGCTTACGATCCCGGAAATTTAACTGTTCTTTGAAATGTCTTACTAGTACTACTGGGCTTTGTTTATTGTTCTAGTCCAAACTAATGTTTCAGCGTTTTTATTATGTAGCAAGAGATAAATTTATCCCAAAAATATTATTAGCCATTGTTTTGATTTAAATCTCACATAATTTGCATTGTCCCATGTTCATATATAATGATTCAACGGACTGTTGGATTACATCATAATGGACCCAGCAGAGAAGTTGGATGTTTCAATGAGAACTGCTTTATGTCAGAGATAACAATAACAGGAAAAACAAAAGAAGTAGCAAACAAATATTAAGCAATTTCTAAAACGAGTGAAGTTGTGAGAATAACGTTTTGCATTGTGTCCGTTGAGCTAATTTAAATTAAAATTCTTATTCTACTTTGGATCCGTTGCTAAACTTTGAGAACTTTGTATTTCGTTTTGCAAACTTATCGAAATTTTAATCTGTGAGAGGAGAACTAACTTTACGTTAAATTAGAGGAATTTAGTTAAAAGTGTAATTAACTGTCAGTATTTTGCTGTTATAACGAGAGTTTCCTTTCTAATTTTATCTCAAAATAAAAACTAAATTATACGATTTTGACTCAGCTTTCTACTCACTAAATAAAGCAATTATAATTATATACACAATTATAAGATAATATATATATATATATAATTAAATATAGATCCAACGAGCATGACTACTTGCAATTTGCATACTTAGTACTTACGACAAATTCGAAAATCTTCAAAGATTTATGTCTATATGAGTATTTTCTGGGTGATTATAAGTCGCGTACCCACAATGCTCATATTAACAGTTCACTTTAAATTTGGGAAATAGTTTGTCAGAGGAGCGTGAGTAACTACTTCATTAAAGACAAAAGAGGTTGTTTCCTTTAATTGGTTATTAGTAGTAGTAGCAGTAGTAGTACTAGTCATTAAAGCTACGGTATCGTATCCGGAACTAGGATAATAACGCAGACTCCCACGGTTCATCTGACGGAGGTTCACTACAATTTCACGTTATTGTGTGTCGTACTCTCCGCTCTGATTGAGACTCACGACTCAACTGATGACGAACGAACTTGTGTTATATTAGGATTGTTGTTGATGCACAGTTTTGACCTATCTTGACGGCACAGATTTCCTGCCAACATTTGTATACCATGCTTTCGTTTTAGAAGTGGGAAATATGTATAATTTCCCCATGTACAGGAGCGAATACGGAGGAAGGGGTTTTAGTATTTTATGGACTCTTGGACACTCTTTAATTCACGCCCCTTTCCCTAACCCATTTCACAAATAATCGACAGTAGTGCAGTCCTTTCCCTTTAGCGCAAAAATGCCTCCCGACGGGAACATGCTGCAACAGAATCTTGGCAAATTGGCTTGAATTCCGGGCTGTCGCATAATCTTAAACAATAATCTCAGAATGTGTGTTTTCTGTCTGTGAGTTTTCTGTGTGTGTAATTTCCGAGCGGCTTAATCAAGAAAACGGTAAGAGTTACGGGGCTGGTTTTTTCGGTGTGCTGACTAAACTATGAAGAAGCCAAATGGTAAAGGTTTTTTAAATCGGTCGGTGATAAGTGGTTTAATTGATGGTTTTGTACCACAAATGTTACATGAAATGGCTTGAGCAGAACGGTAAGAGTTACGGGTCTCGCTCTCTCTCCCATTACTGTATATGTAGCTGCATAAGTAGCGTCATAATTTGGTTAGCCCGGTAAGATTTGCTGTAATGTTATACCATAAGCTTATTAGGGGAGGGGGCACTGTTAGTGTTTGGGGTCTGTTTGGACTGCAGAGAGTTCATACTTTCATACGACAATGTTATGCGTGTTTTTCAAATATAATAGGCGGGTGTGGTGCGGAGTTAACAAGGGTTAATTTCTAAAACGATTTAAATAAAAATGGAAAGCGATTCAAGACGGAAGTGATGAGGTGTAATAGTCGGTGTTTGGACCTTATGATCATGGAATGTGGTGCCTAATAATGACTTAATTATCCACGAGAAAGAACTGATTATCAGATTATTGTTTAAGATACTATCGGGTCACCTAATGCGGGTTTTGACTCAGCGGGTAATTACTCCTACCCTTTTTAACTGCGGCACTAGTATCATTATAAATTCGGTATACTTGATCTTTGTTGTGATTGATTGATTGATTGAGGAGCACTACCCGGAGGCATTAGTGCTCGAAGATAGTCATATTTCTTTCTGAGGTAAACGTTTTGTTGCTAGTCAATACCAACGTATGTTGTACCAAATTATTTAAATTTCTAAAAGTACGAAATTTGAATCGTTCCAGTCCTTGTCATTCGGCTCAAGTGCTTGTGCAGTAAGAAAATGCTTGTTGACTGTAGACTTGAATGAATTTAAGAATTTGTCTTGTAGACAAGTCGTGATGTATTGTATGTCCTTGTAAATAAAGTTGGCCGTTTTGTTATATAACTTATATTAGGGCCAATGGAAGACATGCTATTATCTGAGTTACTTAAAAAGTTGTAGAAGCCATCATCCAGTATATCCTATTATCTTGCACGCTTACAATTAAAATTTTGTATAGTTCAACGAATAGCAAAGGGGAAATTTGAGAAAAATTGAACTCAAGAAAACATAAAGTTGTACTGCACAATAGAACAGACATCTTAATTTCTTTCTTTGTGATTTTAATAATTGTAATGGCTAGAACACAAAACCTCCAGCTAGTACTTTTAAAGTATTACAGCTATTAGTATTGAGTATACTGATCCATTTGTTCTCTTTTATTAAAATAAGTAAGTTAGTAAAATGTGAACCATGATCAGGGGTGTAGGAAGCGGGGGCAGGGGGGCTATCGCCCCCCCCCCCCTACCGAAAAGTTTCTAAGTCAAAAATTTTCAAAGTTTTCCTGGAAACTACTTTTGTTCATGTTTCATGCTACCCTTATCATTATGAGCCGAAAATATTTTTTTCGAAGTTCGATATACGATTTTGGACTCGAGGGTTCCTCTTTGTAATGCGATCTAGGAAGGCAGGCCTCCCCTTCGCAATACGAGCTCGGAAGCGGGAGCTCTGCTTTCAAAGGTGCGTATCGAGAATGACTCGGACCGAACATTTTCTAAGTCAACATTTTTCAAAGTTTTTCTGGAAACTACTTTTGTTCATGTTTCATGCTACCCTGCACCCTGATCATTCTGAGCCGAAAATATTTTTTTTCGGTTTTCTGAAGTCCGTACCTATAACATTCGGAAGGTTGTGGATGTGATTGGTTTCATATACTTATTATAGAAAACGTGATATTTGGCCCACAGATTTGAAGAAAAATACGCGAATTTGGTCCTCTGCAGACTTAAAGGAAAATGCGCAATTTGACGCGGAGAACTGAAAAATCGCGATTTGTCGTGAGGCCAGGATCTGAAAAATCGCGATTTGTCGCAGCAAACGTGAAAAATCGGGACACCGCACATGCCGCAATTTCCTTTTATCCTTACCCCGAAAATTTTTAGAAATGCAGGTTTTGAAAAAATATTTAGAATTTGGCCCCCCCATGAAGAAAATCATTCCTACACCCCTGACCATGATAGCATTTGTTAGAAGTATCTTGGCTTTCTATTTCACACACTCTGGCTTCCGTATATTCGATAATATGTTCTGGCGAGCACAACCACATTCTCCTTTAAAGTGCGTCCTTGCAAGCCCTTAGTCGTAGTGGAAATCTTCTATATCAGTCATCGGTTTGGGCTATTTGCACAGTTTCTGACTCTTTTAATAGCCCAATTGCTTTGTTACAGTCATCAGTTTCTGACTCTCCAAATAGCCCAATTGCTTTGTTACAGTCATTAAATATTCTGATATATTTATCTGGTATTAGCAGGCTGTCGTGACCCAACATCATATGACAACACAAAAGTGGCGTTATCTCATTTTCATTGTCACAAAATTTTTCATGCAAACCGTGCCATTAAGTGATTAAGTGATGAAACTGTCAAATATCCCACAAATAATCCGGTATTATCATAATATAATTAACGATTATGTTGGATGCATGACGCAAACATCTTCATCGAGTCTGTTTAGGAGATGATGACTTGACTAGCCTGCCTAGAGGCCCGTCTATAATGGTCTGATAATGGGGGTTTACGCTGGTCTGATGACTATTCCTTTGAATTTGATGACTGGCTCACCCCCTATTCATATGGTTCCTCTTAGTTAGAACAGAGTTTGTATTCTTCCTTTCATTGGTGAGGCAGGTTAGGCGAGGTTAACATTTGTCTCTTAGGCTATTTCTCTGCTCAGGATGCAGGATAATGTGGCAAAATACTTCACTTTTCTTGCACTAAAAGGGCTAGATGGTTAGAATCACAACAATTAGGGCAGTACAAACCTGTAATTTTCCACTGAGCACGAAATATTGAGTTTACTATTTATTCAAATTTTATCGATGGCTTTTCGTAGGTATATTCATAAAGTCCATCCTCGTAACAACTAAATTAAATAGGTGTTCTTATGCACTATGCAGCCTTTGAGGATTCCACTGTTAATGAATTTTACGGAGCGTCAAAGGATGTCTTTCAGCGAAAATATTGGGACACTGCCATCAGTTTTATAATCACACTTGCAGGGGCGGAAACGTCTGCCAGTAACCTCATTAAATAGACGACAAAAACTCCCAAGATACGGACCGTACAAAATACGGGCTATTTTACGAGATATGAACCATTTTCCGCATTTTACCAGTTTGTCTTGATAATTGTCAAGGTAACAACTATAGAGTCTACTATGTTGTTATATTTTTGCCTCATTTTCAGTAGTATAATCGAACTTGGAAAATGTACGATTAATGTAATTAATCGTGTTTGCTTGTCACTCCGGTCACACCTGAAATCCTGGTTTAAAATGTTTCTGATTCAGATGTTTTGAAAAGATAATCACATCCCTTATTTTCGATCTGTAAATCTGGACTTTCTCACTTTTTATCCAAAGAATTGTTTCAAGTTTCAGTATTACCACACTCAAATAACACGTACTTGGACTGCACCATAATTTACGTTATTGGTTGACACTTGACACATCTATCATTGGTAGTACAGCTAATATTGTCGACAAGGAAACAATTGTTATAATGATGATATTATTATTATGATGCGATGAAGATAATTGAATCGTTTCTATCTACTAATGTCTTATGTAGTACTAGTAAGTTACACTCATGCATATTGTTTCTATCTACTTATGTCTTATGTAGTACTAGTTAGTTACACTGCATATTGAATAATGCATATTGTAAAATCTCACATCACTATCTTCTCTACATCTACAATCTGCATTTTTATTGAATTTGCTGCTTCACTTTCGTTTGCCCAGGTAATGTTTCGTGTCTTTTCATGATTGGGATCTTGACACAGAGATTACTATTTTCAGAGTATGACAATATTGAATGTAGTTCGACACATACTATTATACACACACGCCGTTTCCTTCCTCTCCGGTCGTTCAAACATCAAAGGGTCCAAAGAAACAGCCCAGATAGGATTCCTGGTAGCAGAGGACAACCACCAAAAAGACAACCTTCTGAAGCTCGTATCATTCGCAGAGGAGAGGTTCAACAACGCTTCAAGAGACGGCTCAGTACAAATATTGGTTGAGACGTATGATCAGTTCTCTTTGTACGGTCTAGTTGAAGCTACTTGCAGTCTTGTAGAGGAGGGGGTGTCTGCTGTGATCTCCCCTGAAGGTTCCAGTAATGTAGCTAACCAGGCAGACATACTCGGCCCTTTAAATATACCCCTCTTATCAATTGTAGCTACTGATCCACAGATAAAACGAGATTCAAGAAGAAGTTTACTGCTTCTCTCGGCTGGAGATGATTACCAAGCAAGAGCGATCCTAGATTTGTTAAAGTTCTATGATTGGAACGAGGTTTCTCTTGTAGCTTCGGACAGTAGCTACGGAACAAATGCCATCAATGCGTTCCAGAACCTCCTTACTCTGGAGACTTCCAGAAAGTTCTCAATAAAGTCATCTACCTTCTTCAGAGCCCACCGCCAGATACATCAGATTAATTTCACAAGTACTCTAGGGATTTTGAAGAGGTCACTAACGAGGGTGGTAATCCTAATCTGTGAGAGTGAGTACGCTAAACCCATCTTTGAGGCTGCCAATGAGATGGAGATGATGTCATCAGGATATGTGTGGATAGTAACAGATGCTATCACTGCTAATCCACGGGCCCTTGCTTTTGGGGGATTCTATCCGAGTTACTACGAGGGGCTCATAGGGATCACTCCATCAATAAACACCAACTCTAATACGTATAAGACGTTCAAAGATCAACTTTTGTTGCAAGAGCGCAGCTTGACGGCCGATAACCTCACTCCACACCTGACATTAACCTATGATGCAATAACCCTTGTCGGAAAGGTACTAAACAATTTACAGTACCAGACAACTGAACAAAGTGCAAGTTGTACGCAGCAGAGATCTTGGAACAGTGGCGAATTGGTGTCTCGTAAATTGAGATCTACTCCCATGAATGGTATCACGGGTTTCTTCAACTTTACAAGTGAAGGTCGCAGAGCTAAAGCAGCCTACAACATAGTCAATTTTGTCAACCCCGGCGTATTCGCCCACATTGGACATTGGACAAGTCACGACGGTCTGCACATGCCCTACCACAAAGACTCGGACGATGTACAGTTTATAGGAGGGGTCACGTACCATCCCCGAGGGAGTCCTAAGGGACTTTCTGGTGAACATCTCCGACTTGGTGTGACAAACAACGCTCCCTTTGCAGCGTATATAAAGGGGTGTGAAGGCACCAAGTGCTGGGAAGGTATAACACCAGATACTGTCAGGAAACTTGCTGCAGATTTGAACTTCACCTATGAGTTCGTTGAACCCGAAGACAAGCTATTCGGGACTTATAACAAAGAGACCGAAGTATGGACTGGACTGATAGCTGATCTTCTCAGCAATCGTATAGACATGATCGCCATGGACCTTTCAGTAAGCTTTGAGCGGAAAACTTACATAGACTTTTCGGTGTCCTTCATGGACTCTGGGATCAGCTTGGCAGTGAGGGGCCAATCTGACAAAGGCAATGTTTTCTTCTTCCTGAGCCCCTTCAGTGAGAGTGTGTGGATAATGGTGATAGTATCTATAGTGATAGTATCTCTGATACAGAGTCTCTTCAACAAGCTCTCGCCAAGTGGAGAGTACGGCAGGATAGTTCACGCCATGCAGGTCTGTGACTGCACTGAATGTGTCAGGAGACGGGAGATAACAATCCAGGAAAATGTCCGACTGAAGGATTACAAAGATACAGAGTGTTTAGTGGATCAGGCTAAGGAGTTCAGCAAGGAGGACATGTCCCTGTTCAATGCAGTTTGGATAGTTGGGGCAGGTTTTGTAGGCCAGGCAGGGGAAGCCATGCCAACTAGTTCCTCCGGCAGGTTCGTTCTCTTTACTTGGTGGTTCTTTGTGATGCTCATGACATCTCTCTATACAGCTAACCTTACTGCCTTCATTACACTAGACAAAATTGGAGTTAAAATAGATAATGCAAAGGATCTTTTGAGTCAAAACAGATATACCTGGGGTATTTTGAATGACAGTTTCGTTGAGGCTCTTTTAGAAAATAACATTGACCCTGAATATAAGAAGATTCTAGACCGAGCAGAGAAACTCACAAGTGTAGCTGACGGAGTACAGAGAGTTCGAGATGGTAATTTTGTCTTCATAGACGAGACCCCGGCAATCTCTTACAACGTCATGGGTGAGTGTGATATTTTCTACGTTGGAGGAGAAGTTCAAACTTTTGACTATGCGTTTGGTTTTCCAAAGAACTCACCGTACTCCCCGCTGATAAACACACAACTAATCAGACTTCGTGAGCAGGGGTTCTTTGATGAAGTGTGGAAGAGTTGGGATAAGACACCTGATCATGTAGGATGTGGCTCCAGCAACAACAACAGCAAGGGGGTAACACTCACGCTCACAAATGTTAGGGGGATATTTCTGTTCCTTAGCATCGGTGTCGTCATCAGTGTTATGTTGATACTGATAGAAATGGTCATAGCCGCCCATAAGGACGAAGGTGATGCTGATCATCTCAGTTTTGGTTCTAAACTTTCCCGAAGATTTCGGTTGAAAATTTTGGATATCAAAACACAGTGGGTTAGGCAATCTAATCGAAAAACAATAGCACATTTTCCTATCAACGGTAAAGAACATTTTCCTGTGAGTGGAGATTTAGATAATGGCATTGAGTTGTCGGTTAAACCTCTGACATATGAACAGGGTAATATGGTGTAATTTATTATTAGTATATTACTATATTATTTATAGTTTTAAAATAAATGGATTTTTAGATTCGAATGATAAATTGTTTTATTTGTTTTTGTGATTTTCAAACCTGTTAGGAGTCAAACCTGTCATCTGAATGCAACAATAAATTGGACATTGATCAGAAATATATGCATTAAAAAACTACTCCTGCTTTAATACCTGTGCAATTGGCCTCTTTGCAGATGTCAGAAAGGTGCTGGACGTTGGGGTGAAGTTCTTCTTGGTCTTCTTCAATCTGTAGATCGTCTACTTTACTCCCTAATTGGACATGATGCCTATTGAATTCATGGTTTCTAATGATCATTATACACCTATCAATTAAATTAATCAGACGCAATAGTATGATTACTATGATTTAATTCTGAATATTTGAATCAACACACCAAGCAAGAGGGTAGGGATTTCTTTGAGTTTAGTGACAGGAATAGGGGGTGAACATGACTCCTTCGTCACATATTCTTCTGGGGGAGATGCATCTTTCTTTTGTTCGATATTTTCATGGGTAAACTCAGTTGACTGTTCAGTGAGAAGATTGTTTTGCTCAAGGTCATCAGTTTGTTTTTCAGCTTCATCTTGAGTATTAGCTATTTTGGAATCGACACCAACTTCATTTGGCATAGTTTCTACAGTTTCGAATGTTGCCAATTCTGATGAGGTTTTTGTCAGCTCAAGTAAAGCCTCCTTCAACTGAACTGCCTGAGAATGAAAGTGAAGTAGTACATGGTATATTTTCAAAATGAATTCTAAGTAACCAACTAACGTATTTGTATCTCAAACCAACACTAAATTTTAATTCCAAATTGGCAATAGTTTTTAACGACGACAGTTCATTAAAATTTCATCTGACCTCAGAAATGCTTTCAGTATCGTTTATGTTAACAACCAGCACAGCTCCATCTATGTTTTCATAATAGCTCTTTCTCATGTCCATATCTTCAAGTCCTGGAATACAGTTATTTTGAAAGGATGTTATCTAAAATTTATTGAATTTGGAGATCTGGAAGAAAGGTAAATGGGATAATTATAAAAATCTCGTAATGTACGGTCATGTACTTACGCATACAACATTATGAAATGCATCCAATTCTCAGTTAACTAAGAGACTCCGGAGCAGGCAGGTGTGGTTAGTTTACCTGGTAGATCCCACAGAGCCAAAGAAATAAGACACTCCACAGGAACGTTTATCTTTTTCACAATAGTTCCAATTTTCACAGAAGTGGTTTGTGTGTAGTGGTAGTTGAACTGAGATTTAGGGATATAATTTTGTCAGATCTGACAGCAATCACCACTTCTAAGTTAATTATTTATTTATTTCAAAAGAATCCACTATTAACCTGATTTGAAGTGATTCTACTAAAGACAGATGTTTTCCCTGAGCCTCCACTCCCAATGAGCACCATTTTCAACTTCATGTCTGGCAAAGTGATAGTTTTGCTTGATCCATTACCCATATCCTGTGAACTAAGTTCGCTGCTTTACTTTGATATTGGTAGGTTATTATAACTATGAAATGACGAATTTAAAAAGTCTAATTGAGTTAGAGTAATGCTAAAGTATAAATTGTATTTTTCATTTACAATCATGCATCTGATATTATATAAAATGAAAAAGACAGTGCAAATAACATGTATATGGGATATTGAAAATCAAAGTGACAAAAAAATTAACAATGAAAGTGTCTACTAATTTGAATATTGTGTGTGAACATGGCTTGAACGACATTATTTGAATAATCATAAAACTGTGAAAATTGACTTGTTGATTGCTGTCATTTATATTTACAATCATCGGCTCATCCACTGAGAATACTGAGAATAATGCTTTGCATACTGATGTCACTACGTACAATACAAACTTTCTCAACAGTATCTTCAAAGGGGACGTCACAGGTAATGGGTAAGACTGTCATGAATTTTTTGTGACTGAGCTTTTCCTTTCTTTTGTCAGGATGCACGTTCGGGCGGAAGTATGTTGCAAACAGCGTACCAGAGACAATATACAACGCAATTGATATATAGCAAAGGTAGAAAAACATTGAGTGCATGTCTTTACTGAAGCAAGCGCTTATGACAACTACTGTTACCATTTCTATACCAAACAAAATGAACAATCCCCCAAACATACTTCCACTTCTACAGCCTACAGCCTCTCTTTTTTTCAGGATAATACCCACAGTTTGCACAGGAAACCTTAGGTTTACCATAAATATTTCCAAGGTTGCAAGCAGATATATCATTGGGATCGAGAACCAAATTGAGCGATTCCTTCTGACCACAACATCATCAAACACATTGGATTTGTATAGGTAGATTAAATTGATGGTAACTATAAACAAGTGATGGCATTCAATTGCAATCACAGTAACGAAGGTTAGACCAGTGAGTGTAATGAAATGATAATAAACCAAAGCTACTAAAAAGACTCGAGAAACATATATCATGAAGCAGCCGGTAAACAGAATCACAGATTGCAGTGCATATGTTATTGTAAAGTCGTATTCATAACGGTCAGCAAACCTTCTTGCCCTTTCCTCGCAAGCAATGATATAGGACAAACTGATACACGAAACCAAAACAGAAGCTATCCTGAGCTTGAATTGCAACGTGTTGGACACATATCCTTCCTCTTCATGAGTAAAGTTGACAAGACTTATGGTTTGGAGAGTCACAACGATTGAGGTAACTAACATCTTACTTACTTTTTGAGTAGATCTATAATGAGCAAGTTTCAATGTTATGGATCTTATACATTGCTTTTCGTGGAAAACAAGCTCAAGCATATCAATGATGGGATTTAACTGCAATAATGAGAGTATGTTTAGAATGATGCGTGGATTTCTTTCCCATTTCCATGGACAGAAGTAGCCTCTGAATGAATACAAGTTGACAGATGAAATATTAATGATTTTGTCACACCTTGTTGGCAGTAGATGATTTTTTCTGTCAAATCGTTTTGAAAGGGAACAACCATTACTGATAAGGACAGATGTAACTGAACTACATAAGATGAGTGTTCCCCAAACATGACTACCCTCATGATACATGTAGTGAGCCACTCTTAGATCCAAAATGATATCCAAAAAATAAACAATCACCCCGAATACAATCAATAACTTTTCTAGTGGTGAAATGATGTTGCAATGATGATGGTTCCATTGCTTTTCTGCCATAAGTTATTTCTGTAGTTATTATCCTTATTAACTCAGTATGATTTATGAAATATGATATTCATATCTTCAGTTGCTGATCCTGAAAAAAGATCAATGATATTCACGAGTAAGTTTCTTTTTAACCACCATTGATTTTTTTAATCAATCAATTATTAATTAAAAATAATATAATATTAATAAAAAATAAATATTTAGCATCTTTTTGGTCATTAAGATAACTAACATTATAAGCTATTATATCCAGGTAAGGTAGATGCGAATCGATAAAACGGACTACGACGGAGACTTGAAGTCGTCTATTCTCGATTAGCATGCCTTATGGAATCTCTAATACAAAGCCGAACTGCATGGAGAACGGCATTATGCACATTGCACAAGAGAACGGCACCTTTATGTTTAGCTTGTACTAGATATCGTATACGCTGCTGGGGTGGAATCGAAATCCCAAAACACAGGATGAATACAATTAGTCATTAGTGCAATTGCAAAGCGATGTATTAGGGTCTGCCCACACTACGCCTCTATTCCCCGATGTCTGCCCACACTGCGCCATGTTTTGACGGGCCACATGGCGTGGGTCAAAAAAACCGGATTCACCCCATGAGGCACGTAGTGTTGGCAGAGCTCCCGCCAGTTGGCGTGGAAACTCTCGGGGAATTCTGGCACGGAGTTAAAGACTGCTATTTGGTAACATCCACGATTTTGATCATAAATGATACTACTTAAAATGTGCACGTTCGAGAACTTATAATTCAAACATATTATGGCTAGCAAGAACTACTGTCTTGAACAGGGGTGTAGGAAGCGGGGGGGCAGGGGGCCATCCCCCCCCCCCCCCCCCCATGAAATCTGGTCAAAGGGCCAAAAAGGGCCAACTTTTAAATTTAGGTTTCTAAAAAATTTTTTCCCCGAAAATTTTAAGTTAAAGTTAAGTTTAAGTCAAAAATGTTCAAAGTTCTCTTAGGAACTACTTTTGTTCATGTTTCATGCTACCCTGATCATTATGAGCCAAAAATATTTTTCGGTTTTCGAAGGTCGATAAACGATTTTGGACTCGAGTGTTCCCTTTTCATTTTTTCACAATACCAAATTTGTTATACCTTTTTGGAAAGATCAGTGAGTTTCGCCTAGGTGCCATATTTGATACTGCGCGGCTTTTGAAGCAAAAATAGCAGTAAAAGTCGCGTATCTTGACCAAATTCGTTGATTTTTGTCGTATTATTCTGATATATCTTCGGTTCCTTGAATGAAATCATTCTGAAAATTGGTGACGACCTTCCAATAGGGTTTTCACAACTGTCCGAAAAATTTGGTGGATATCGGAGTTGATATATAGCTCCCGCTTCCGAGATCGTAAATTTTGTTTTGACCATTGTTAATGGTTTGGCCCGGCGCGCGCTACTTCGTAGCACTTGCCATCGAGGATCGAGAAAAAAGCGGCACCACAGGACGACTATTATAGTGCAAAGAAACTGCTGCTCGAACTGCTAACTGCTGCTCACTGTTGCTGTCGCGCGCGCCCATAGCAGCAGTGAGCAGTTGTAGCGCCCGCCGATTTCTTCTCGAAATGGCAAGTGCTACGATGACTTTGTGGATGGCCGCTCATTTTCCTGTTCCGTGATGGCGTATTGTATCAATATCATATTCCATACAACCTTCGAAAAAACTCATAGTTTGGTTCCGACCGGGATTCCAAAAATAACAGATTCTGACCAAGGCCTGGATTCTGTCCGAACCTACTAGTTGAATTGCTCAATCTTTATTGTTAAGATTATGTACTGGATCTGAATGAGTCATTCTTACCTGGGGACCCCATGCTATTATGTTCATTAACATAGAGATTAGGCGGAATAACAGGCTGAGCGCGGCCCAGTAAGAGTCATTCTAGGGCCTACGAATTATAATTTCCATAGTAGTGTAGTCAGTGTAGCTTACGTTGCAATTATCGAGCTCTCTTTATATCTTTTGTAAATTGCGATAAGTTCAGTTTGCTGCTACCGCGTAGTTAGCCTTTGCGTGTGTACTTGTACATTCCTATACAAGTACACTATGGAGGATGATCGTAAGGTGACCCAATCTCTGGACCAAATTCAAGGATTCAAGTATGATGAACAGACAAAATTGAAGGACAGTGTTACTAAGTGATTCATTGCGCTGGGAAAAGAACTGAAAATCGACGACAGAGACATTTGTGGAGATATGGACAGAGAAATATTTATGGCTCCAACTGTCTATAAAAAGCATCTGGCACTTCGGCTTGTGGAAGCAATAGACCTCGTTCAACGGCATGAATGCCAGATGGCTGAAATGGAGGAGATCATATATTTCTTGAAGACGGAAGCGTTAGAAGACAAGGATAAGTTGATCAGGCTGCAGGGCCAGCTGCTTGTGCAGAAGGACAAAGAACTACAGTTGTTTAAGACGTCGGTTAAGGAGACAGTGCAAACAACGGTGGAGTCAGGGGTTAAGAGCTACAGTGCAGCTGTACAACAGAACAGTGCAAGTGGTACGGTCTGCACCAGTAACATCCTGAAGAAGGTGATGAAGAGTGTGGCTGAAGAGGAGGACAGGAGCAAGAACCTGATTGTGTTTGGGTTGAAAGAAGAAGAGGGAGAACAGCTTCCAGCGCTAGTAACCGCAGTTCTGGAGGATATTGGGGAGAAACCTCACTTCGAAGCGACTAGAGTCGGCAGGAAGAGGCCAGGTAGTACGACTATCCGACCAGTAAAGATCACTGTCCCAAGCTCAACAGCGGTTCAACAGATTCTGATGAAAACAGGAAGACTGAGGCTAGTTGAGACCCACAAAAATGTATGGATCTGTCCAGATAGATCTAGCGAAGAACGAGCAACGAAGAAACATCTGGTTACCGACCTGAAGAAGAAGAGGGCTGAACAGACTCATCTCGACCACTATATCCGGTACGGGAAAGTCTGTAGCCGTGATAAGAAACCACCATGAAGCAATTCATGTCTCTCGGACACTGATCAGTATTTGAATGAGTATTGTGTATCTTAATAGTTTTCGGACGTTATCTGTATTTGAGAGACAATTTTATAATTTATATACGAGCTATTTCTTGATTGTTTCACACTTCATATTTCATAATTTGTTTCACACTTCATATTTCATAATTTTATTACTAGGTGGAGGTGACGTTATTGAGACTTTGGGCGGCCATAAACCTCGTGTTTTAAAAGTTGTCCTCTGTACTTGTTTCACTGACCCACGCTTTATAGCATTTATACATTTCGGCCCATTTTATATGTTTGTTCGATTTACTGTACATTTGTATATTTGCTATTTTGTAAAAGTTCCAAATCAAATCATTGGTGTTTTGTAGCGCTGAACCTCCTGCACAAAATACCAATGTGCAATGGAAATTATTTCGTAGGCCCTGAAATTACTCCTTCGAATCAAGTCTTAAAGTTAAAGTGTTAACCTTAAATTTGAGTTATATCAAATTTAAGGTTAGGACAACAGGGGAACAGATTGTTACATCTTAAAACCAGTTACTCGGGGAACAGATTGTTACATCTTAAAACCAGTTACTCGGGGAACAGGTTGTTACATCTTAAAACCAGTTACAGATTGACTTATAACTGCAATACCCTAAGTTGTATTGACATGAAAGTTTTTGTGCGTGATGCTGGGTTGATTATCTTTATGTTTCGAAAGAAAGACATCTCCAGGACATTGAAAGAAATGTCAACCTCCCATCTACCAGACCCCGCTACTTCTGCCTACTGTCACCTGGCTTTGCACTTGAGTTCAATAAAATTCGTGAGTAGCGAGTTCACAGATTTGCGAGAATATCATCATATGGTCAGACAGTCTCTCCTCTATTCAAGCTATACCCTCACCCTCAACGAGGAGTAGAACTACTAGAGACTGTTACGACACCCTCAATACACTCGGATCCACTAACACCTTAGACATCAGATGGATAGCAGCACACATCGGATTGTGGGGTAATGAAAAAGCAGACGAGCTGGCCAAAAATGGCACAACCAGTGAATCCACTTTGAATTGCCCAATTCCACAATCTTACATCAAACGCCTGATCAACGACAAAGTCACCAAACTTAATCAAGAATCATGAATTACTGATGGTCCCAGACACACTAAACTGACACTTGGACACAAAAACATCATCAAAAATCTCAACACTACACTCAGTAACAACAGACAAAATTACAGAACTGCAGTGCACCTCATCACGGGACATTGTGGTCTCAACAAACACCTACACACCATTCGCAAATCAGACACTAGTGCTTGTCCTAAATGCGGCGACGAAGAGGAGACTGTCTCACACTTTCTCGGTCAGTGCCCGGCTATTGCCCAAATAAGAGTCGATATTTCCGGGACTACTACCTCTCTGTCAATGACATATTCGACAACCAACACATCTCCACTATTGTCAACTTTGCAAACCACAATAAACGCTTAAGCTTAGTGGTGCCAGAGGAGTTGGACCAGACAGGTGTAACATAGCGACTACTTTAACGCCGTCTTATTTCGCCTCTCTCTTCCACACTCAACCACCACTTAGTCTTAAGCGTTCATCTATGACACACCCCACAACACTTACCATCATCCTTGATTACACATCTTGATTCCACTGGCATCCTCCCACAGGACTGCCATACCCCAGAGGTAGGCAAAGCATTCATATGCTTTCCTCTCGTGGGCCTACCGGGCCCAGCCTCTCTAAAAATAATTATACGCCTTTTATGAGATGATCATACCACGCGCTATAGGCAACCACAAACCAATACATCGCGGTGAATCGCTATCTCGTGACCGATCAAAGAAAATTCTCTGTAAATGGCGCGCCCCTGGTAAAATAGGAAAATGCCGTGTTAAGGAACAAATAGGCAAGCGACCACTCATTCTGTAGTCTAATTATATTTAGACCTTCACCAAATTACTTGAAGATCAACCTGTATGTGCTTTCTCCTACGAGAAGAGCACACCCCACGTGCTTTCTCCTACGAGAAGAGCACACCCCCATGCTTTCTCCTACGAGAAGAGCACACCCCACATGCTTTCTCCTACGAGAAGAGCACACCCCACATGATGCTTTCTCCTACGAGAAGAGCACACCCCACATGATGCTTTCTCCTACGAGAAGAGCACACCCCACATGTTCTCTCCTACGAGAAGAGCACACCCACATGCTTTCTCCTACGAGAAGAGCACACCCACATGCTTTCTCCTACGAGAAGAGCACACCCACATGCTTTCTCCTACGAGAAGAGCACACCCCACATGCTTTCTCCTACGAGAAGAGCACACCCCACATGCTTTCTCCTACGAGAAGAGCACACCCCACATGATGCTTTCCCCTACGAGAAGAGCACACCCCACATGATGCTTTCTCCTACGAGAAGAGCACACCCCACATGATGCTTTCTCCTACGAAAAGAGCACACCCCACATGCTTTCTCCTACGAGAAGAGCACACCCACATGCTTTCTCCTACGAGAAGAGCACACCCACATGTTCTGGCAAGCATTCCTTTATAGGAGGATTCTAATGAAAGACTCTTATATTAGACTTATTCTTCTCAAAATAGCTCAAAATAGCTGTCCGCTATTCTGTACTTCGGTTGACTCTCAATTTCGTCACAAAACAAATTATAACTCTATTTGCTCCTTGTTGGCAAAACAACTAGTTTATTGACATAGGTATGATGATAAGGTAACATTATCAATTATATTCTAATCGAGGTATGATTCTGCAATGAATGTGTCTGTCCAAATATTATGCTTTATATCTAGGTCATCTGAGAAGCTAGAACTCTTATCCGATTCAATTCAAACTATCATAAAAATGCGGAAATAAACCTTCATTCGAAAAACATTAACTTTCATATTCTTTAATTTGATATACTCCTCGAATGAGAGGTGATAGTAAGTCATACCAGAAAGAATTACCTCAATCAGGCACTCAGTGTCTGAGCTATAAAGGCTAATGTATGTTACATCTATTCCGGACGAACCTCCTGTTACTGGATATTGTTGCCAGAACGGGAATTCGTCATTGAACTGGAGCGCAGAAAAGACAGCAACTTCGCTGCACGGGTGGTCAGCCGTTCTGATGACCCGATAGAGGATCTATGAAGCAACCCCAAGTAACCCCATGTAAGTAAACTTACTTTTGGCCTCCGCCCCCTCTCCCCTGTATAATGTATACCTAGTGTATACATCAGTCATGATTTGACAGTGACTTAATAATAAATAAAGACACGAAATATACCAGAGGTCAAAAGTTAATCGATTTTAAAAACATAAAGGACAAATATAATAACATTTAGAAAGAATTTATTTTTCTAGAAAAATAATATTATAAGTTCAGTCATTTTAATTAGGTAAGACTGCCCTTCAATTTTTATGTTATCGTATATTATGAACATTTAACTTTATCATATTGACAACGTTTAAAGCGCCAATATCAGCTACAAAAGTATCTTAACACTTAATACGTGACATCTAGGGAGCTACTGAGCTAGGGCTAGTATATAATATAATCTGAGCGGAAGTATCTTAACACTTAATACGTGACAACTAGGGAGCTACTGAGCTAGGGCTAGTATATAATATAATCTGAGCGGAAGTCCACACTTTAAAGGGACTTATAAGAGTAAAATGCACAAATTTCTGAATCTCCAAATCACACATTTTGTAGTTGATCAAGATAAAGTATTGGGGCTAATCTCCAGAGAATTACTGATGAGGGCAATAAAGATCACCTAGTTCCAAATTCAGATCTTAATTAATTAATTAATTAATTAATAAATACAATAGACTGAGTCCTAGTATGTAAGTAACAACACACACCTGCAAAACATAGTCTACTTTCCAGTAAAACATTAAACAATACACCATGATTACAAATAACTTTAAAAGAGTTACAATATTATAAAGTTTGGAGAGGAGAGAACCATTTGTTTGTTTGATAAAGCCCACGCAATAAAATAAATTCAAGTAGTGGGCGAACAATGAACACACTTGTCTCCTCTGCTGCTACATTATCCAAATACCTCACCTTACCTTTAAGGTTATATATATTAAATAAAGCAAATATTGCTCGCTGGAGACCGCGGTCCTGGCAAGGGGAAAGCTGTGCGCTGCTGGCTGATTTGCGTTTTAGTTTCGGTTGTTTCGGTTCCGTCTGTTTCTCCGGCCTCTCTTCCTGTGGTAGTCTGTAAACCCGCTAGTTTTTGGAAATTTGACAAATAAAAGTTTTTTTTTCTTTATAGTTTATAATAATCAAATGGATATGATAGATGATAAACTATAATCGTCATGTACTAAGAACTGAGCGATCAGTTCTTTACTCTGTAACAGAGAAATCAGCGGTTAAGGTGTAGTCACAGTAACGGTAAAAGTTGTAGTCACAGTCACGGTAAAAGTTATAGTCACAGTCACGGCAAAAGTTGTAGTCACAGTCACGGTTAAGGTGTAATCACAGTAACGGTAAAAGTTATAATCACAGTCAAAGTCACAATTTCAAAGCACACATAGGTCAAAGTGTCGCAAGATAGTCTTAGGACACGTTGACAGCAATACCTAAAGTAAGACCTCCAAAATGATAGTCAGTCAGAAATAAGTCATAGAGTTTTGTCATTGTGAGTTACTTTTACAGAGGTTGTCTCGTCATCTTCCTTCACTAGGAGTAGGGGTCGTTAGAACAAGAAGGTTAGACTGTCCGACTTTAAACCTACACAAACTAAAAACAATACCATAGTAACACTACTAGTTACCATAGTTAGTATGTACAAACAATCAAACACAGGTCCAGGAATATCCACTGTAGCTTAGGAGGACATTGCAAGGTATACATCAACATGTAAGTCCCTATCAATTTTTGATTTCTCACAATTGCTTAAGCTTGCTGTAATTAAGGGCCCTGAAGAGAAAAATTTCGAAATCAATATTTTAGTTGTTTTTGATAGAAAAGAGTAATTTCTATTAGTTACTTTTGGTCCTATCAATTTTTTTTGTTCCTAGCCGAATTTATCGTCGATCAAAGGTCAGCCCTTTTTTATAAGATTTTGAAAATCTTGGACCTCAGCCGTAAATAATGTCAATTTCAGACTACAATATATTTAATGTTTGGAAAGGGTGGCATTTTTTGAGAAGATGCTTAACTATTAACCATATTTATTAAAAAAATCAATTCAACTATATTTCTGACAAAATGTAGTTAAAAATAACCGTGAAGTTTAATTTGGTCAAAAACTATTGAAGCGTAAGATAGTCACAGTCACACTTTATGCGGTACAGCCTTTAACACATGATAGCATTTAAACAGGACTGAATATTTATCATCGACAGCTCACAAATCTGATAAAACCCCCTTTGCTTGAACAAAGAAGATTCCATGTGACCATTCAGGCAACTCCCCAAGTACTATGACCGCCTAACTAGGGCCCAACCAACTTCAAGAAGGAAAGAAATAATTGATAAATTGCGCGGCGTGCCCAGATTTGGCGACGTGCCCAGATTTGAATCACAGATCATGTGACCACTAACATTTCTCAGAGGGAGCAGCTTTGTTGAATTCGCCCGAATAATGTGCTCTCCGTTTCTTCTCAAACGCTGATAACTTCTCTGAAATAGTGTGCGGTAACACCAAACCAACGAGAGGTTTTAAGTATGTATACTGGGGAGTGTGGGGACACAAACCATTTAACATTTCCTAACTATTCCTAGTTATCGTACTCTCGTAAAGTAAGTACGATAAAACACGGGATTCTCTCACCTGGGTCTTTATCGACTGTTACTTCAGATGATATGCTGACCCTTCTTCTTTGTTTTGGTTCTTTTATTTCCAATCTACTGCTACCACCACTGTGGAATAGCATTTTGTGATGGGGTATTCATAGAGATTCCGCCACAGTGACCGGTTCCCATAGAGATGTACAGAATGGTCAAGTATACAAGTTTTCCATTGGAGGAAACGTCGATATGATTTTAAGAATTTCTTAAATGAAAGGGTTACTGTTAGTTCTGATCAAATGGAAGCAGCAACAGTACACTACCTCAAATCAACGGGATTTTCTTCTGTTTCCATCTTTTCAACTTCTTCAACGCCCTATAGTAACGTTATCTATCCGTTATTTAACAAATGAAAGTTACAAAATAACGTTCATTAACAGAATAATTCAAAATTAAAAACTTCAAGACTATTGCGCAGCTGTATTCGTCTAAAGAATTAAACACTACAGAGTGCTTGAATCGAAGTACAATTAAGGACTAACGATTCAAGTAACCAAATTTAAATTTTCTAGTCTTCGCGTTTCATTTGTCAACATTTTTATACAATTTTTCACAGGGAAACCTGGCAAGTGGTTAATTTCAAGTAAAGTAAGGTTGAATTTAAATCACTCTCACGATACTATTTCTTACTATCGGAATTAGTTATGAAACACGAATAACTAATAAATCAAAGAAAAAAGAAAACTGAGAAGAAAAAATAAAGGGGAAACTGAAAGGGCACACGAAAGGGGGTGGGGGGTACATACGTTTTCCTCGTCGTCATCGGAGTCGTCTAGAAGTCCCGCTGCGCGCGCCTCCTTCATTGCTTGGAACTCGTTGTAGTGAACTGAGCGCTTGTCCTTGAAATCCTCTGAAGCGGGAGACAGGATTTTTATATGGTTTAAATCATGTATATTGTTATGAATTTATTTATTTATTAAGAGAAAGAAGGATTTAATATATTGTAATCTGGAGAATTTAATTTAGAGTAGAACTAGAGTTGCACATCAACCGCATTGTCGCAAGATAGATGCTTCTAGTTTGAAGTCTCATTGAAGTTGATAAGGTCTCATGCATCTCTGCACTCAACATGTGTAGTCTACATTACACGTTAGTAGAAATGAGTTAAGTTGTTCTGTAGAATCGATTTTACACGGATAAAACGGATAAACTATGGTTACTGGTACTGGTACTGGTACTGGTACTGGTACTGGCACTGGTACTGGTACTGACACTGGTACTGGCACTGGCACTGGTACTTGTACTGGTACTGGTACTGGTACTGGTACTGGTACTGGTACTGGTACTGGTACTGGTACTGGTACTGGCACTTACTGTTGGCTTTGCTTTCTTCTAAAGACATTTTTTCCGCTTGTTCTTCAAACTTGAGTTGCCGTGAGGACCAGTCTATATTATTCAACCTGGAAGCAAGAGTTATTTATAGACACTACTAACAAGAGTAGTGTACCATTATAGACACTACTAACAAGAGTAGTGTACCATTATAGACACTACTAACAAGAGTAGTGTACCATTATAGACACTACTAACAAGAGTAGTGTACCATTATAGACACTACTAACAAGAGTAGTGTACCATTATAGACACTACTAACAAGAGTAGTGTACCATTATTATAGACACTACTAACAAGAGTAGTGTACCATTATAGACACTACTAACAAGAGTAGTGTACCATTTCGCTTGACGGTGTTAACATGACGCGGACGGTAGCTTAAAACTGTAAACTGCACAACTAAAGGTTGTCAACTCACATTACCATAGTTACACTACTAGTTACCATAGTTACACTACTAGTTACCATAGTTACACTACTAGTTACCATAGTTACACTACTAGTTACCATAGTTAAACTACTAGTTACCATAGTTACACTACTAGTTACCATAGTTACACTACTAGTTACCATAGTTACACTACTAGTTACCATAGTAAACTTACGTTGATTGCAGCTGGTCAGTGTCTAGTTTAGCTTGTTTGGGTGGACTCCAAGGTTCGTCAGCTAGATTGTCAGGTAGCTCATCGTCACTACCTATGTAAGGGAAGTAAGTAAGTAAGTAAGTAAGTAAGTAAGTAAGTAAGTAAGTAAGTAAGTAAGTAAGTAAGTAAGTAAGTAAGTAAGTAAGTAAGTAAGTAAGTAAGTAAGTAAGTAAGTAAGTAAGTAAGTAAGTAAGTAAATAAGTAAGTAAGTAAGTAAGTAAGATGTTCAGATATCTGCGACAGAATCAACATCATAGCTAATAAGCCGAACTAAAAAATTTCTAGTCAGAGGCAAACATTAAATCGAACAGCATTATAGATAGATCGCATTAATGAAGGTGACATTTATCTATAATGAAATTTGGTCGCATTAAATCACAATTAAAATCTTATACCGTTAACTAACTCCCCCTCTCACTCTCTCTCTCTCTTTCTAATTTATATCGGTACGTTTAATTATAAATTACTTCGACGAACGAGCTGTAATATTTAAAACTTCCATTCAACAAAGGAACCGTACTTTACTGTATCTGCCATTTCTCATTTTATATAATTCTATGCAACTATCCAATGATAATGATATATTATGTATAAAGGTATAAGGGATTATATCGTGGAATACAGATTTCAGGATGGTTTATAGAATGAATAAGGAAATTACGAACAGCAACAAGAATAATCTAATAACCTTTATCTCCACTACCACTACACAGTTCACGGTGATCAAATTGCATCGAGAATCGAGATACATCAAAATGCAGTCAAGAAAAAAGCGATGGTGGAAAGTTAAGCACGATTCCAGGCTAGTAAATGAAAGTTAAGCACGATTCCAGGCTAGTAAATGACAGTTGAATTTCACTGCAATGTGATTCGGTGGAATGTCACAGCGGAGTAACGGGGCTGTGTTGGGTTTTCTGTCGAAAGTAAAACAATCGTTATTCATTTCTGAAATTTCTCTCTCTCTGAAAATTTCTTTCTCTCTCTCTCTCTCTCTCTCTCTCTCTCTTTCTCTCTCTCTCTCTCTCCCTCTCTCTCTCTCCCGGAAAACAGAAACTGAGAAACAACTCCACAGAAAATGGTTACTGAAACACAGAGAAGTAACCAAACAAGTGTAACACAACACGAGCAAAACCCATCACTGTGTGTACGATTTGTAAGAAGTGACGTGGTACTGATGTCCACGTGACATGGCAACCACCTGAATATACCACGTGGTCAGACAATGGCGTCTTGAACCAATGGGATCATCCAGACGAAGCAGATTTAAAAACGGAGCTCGATCTTCAATTAGAGATAATAAAGTGGAGGATATGACTGGACCGGTGGCTGAGCCATCATAATTACTCATAATCATGAGACATATGACACACGTGACAGCCATTAACCAATCAGCTTTCAGCATTGACCAATTAAAACCTAAAGTCACTGTCACGTGTCAAAACAAATATGGTTCACCTCCCCACCAGTGGCCCGCTCTATAACTGGCTGTGTATATAACATTAACTGGCAATATAATACTGAGCATACAAGCTGGAACAGCCGGTCAGATGTAACAACTTAACAAGCCTTTGTACTATCGTGTGTCACGTGATCAGAGAATCTGGATATAATTGTGTAAAACTATGCTATTATATTCAAATACCATGTTAGACATATGGGGAATATGTTACAATATTAAAATCTGTGACTTACACTGTACATTACAGTACATCACAGTACACTACAGTACATGACAGTACATGACAGTATGCAGGGCAATTCCACGGTAAGGTTCCACTTGGTGAAAATGAAAAATGTTAAGATAGGCACCTAATTTTGGTTAAAATATGTTCATTAGACTCTTAACCTTACAGGTCAACAAAAGTTTTTTGTTTCATATTGCATTAACTTTTGATTTTTCTCATTCAAAGGAACACCACTCGGAAATGAAAAAAATCATTCAAATTTTCAAAGGGCCATAGTTTGGGTATGCAGCAATATTTCTCTATGAAATTCCATACACTTAAGCATAGGCATAAGAATGAGAGCCATGCAAAGTTTCAAAACCGTTACTCAAATACTTTTTCTAAAAAATTTCCACAAAGATGGTGTCGCGTCTGTCACAAAATTAAGCAAAAAAGTTTTTTCAGAGCCACATAGTGCTATTTATATTCAAAAAACCACTGTAACCTATCTCTTCTGAAGGTAAGGGAGTACCGTAGAAATTATCAGGTTTGTGTCTTTTAAGAAAAAAATTTTGGAAGGGGGGTCCCAACTTGTCGCGTCCGTCACATTTTTTTGAAAATGCTCCAAAAAATCTTTTAACAGACTTTAAATGCATTTTTGTTAAAGCTGAGACCGTTCTTAACAAAACGATGTTGTCAAATCGAAAATTGGACAGAAAATGACTGAGTTATGTATAATTTTGTATATGCCCATATATGGGCGTACGGCTCACTTTTAGCCATTTTTATCCATATTTCCATTATTTTGACTAAAACCAAGACAAATTGAAGTCAAATAAGGTTTGGCTATGTTGACTAGACTATCAAATAACATCATATACAATTCAATAATTAAATTTACTGAGTTTTGCCATTTTATTTGCCTTAACCTTTTTCAGGGGTAAAAAGCACAAAAAATGGACTTAACCCTATTTTCGCATATTTTTGAAGTAAAAATTCAGTATCTTCCACATTTTAAACACTAAAGTAATGAAACTTTTGGGAGATGGTCTCAACAGTGTGATGTGTTGAACAGAGATAAATGTTTTACCAGAGTTATAAATTTGTTCAAGTAGAGAAATAATTGCTGCCCCTAGATTGATACCCTAGCGTATGCCCAAAATGGACGATTTTGGCTATTGCAGACCTCGTGGAAGTACTAGCGGCCTAAAAATTGGCATAAATATAGAATGAAGGTCACTGAACAAGATAAAAGTGTCAAATAGAAGATTTGGAGAAATTGAAAAAAAACGTGTGTCCGTCACAGTCACGTCTGTCACAATTTGAAAATGGCGCCACGCAAACAAAAACTGAGCATTCTCCAAAAAAATGGTATCTCAGAAATCCCTAAACCTTTTTCTATCACTGCATGTCCAAATTAGAGATAATAGATAACGTTTTGAGATAGATTTGGGTACCTTCTGAGTAGACACCCAAAAAAAGTGTCATATTTAAGTCGCGTCCGTCACAGGGGTGCTATCTCAGAAAGTAATAATGGTAGGGGTCTGAAATTTTCACACAACCTATAGAAAGGTTAAATGTGGACTAATAAATAGTTTAAGCTGATATAGAAGCAACATCCTGAGCACAACATTCGTTTGAACTTTAAAAAATGGCATAATCGTGGTGTCCGTCACGGTGGAATTGCCCTACAGTACAGTTCATAACAGTACATTACAGTACACCACAGTACGCTACAGTACATCACAGTACATTACAGTACATCACAGTACACTACAGTACACAACAGTACATTACAGTACACACTAGTACATTACAGTACATCACAGTAAATTACAGTACATCACAGTACAGTACATCACAGTACATTACAGTACATTACAGTACATCACAGTACAGTACATCACAGTACATTACAGTACATTACAGTACATTACAGTACATCACAGTACACCACAGTACGCTACAGTACATCACAGTACATTACAGTACATAACAGTACATTACAGTACATTACAGTACACAATAGTACATTACAGTACATCATAGTGCATCACAGTACACTACAGTACATTACAGTACATTACAGTACATCACAGTACACAACAGTACATCACAGTACATTACAGTACATTACAGTACATTACAGTACATTACAGTACATTACAGTACATTACAGTACATCACAGTACATTACAGTACATCACAGTACATTACAGTACATTACAGTACATCACAGTACATTACAGTACATTACAGTACATTACAGTACATTACAGTACATTACAGTACATTACAGTACATTACAGTACATTACAGTACATTACAGTACATTACAGTACATTACAGTACATTACAGTACATTACAGTACAACAGCACTATTACACGACGTAATACTCATTAACCTTCATTATATCACTCTATATCACTATAATATTATGTCGTAATTGGTTTCCTCCTCCTCCTGAAGCTTGAGGACGAATAGCCGCTGGGTTACACACACACACACACAAAGCGATTATTAGTTGAATAATGTATGTAGCATTGTTAGATAAGTTATATATACCTCCTATAGCTACGTAGGGTTGTTATTTAGGCTGCTGTCTCTGAGTCTCTGCAGTATTGTTAAGTTGTTATTTAGGCTGATGTCTCTGAGTCTCTGCAGTATTGTTATTTTGTTCGCTCTCACATCACACTTAACACACAGTTTTCTTTTAAATCCGTCTAATACTTCAGAAAAAACGTGATATTAACTAATAACATAGTGGATCACTTACAGGGGGGGGGGGGCTTGATATTAACTAATAACATAGTGGATCACTAACAGGGGGCATGATCCCCCACTCTAACAGTCCCCTCATTATATTATGCATTATATTATTATACATAATTATTGTGCGGTTTCTTAGCTTTAAACATAGCACTGTAGAAAGAAAATACTACAATATAATCAAGGTACGATGTTGGATACCTGAGTTCTATATCTTTCGATAGCAACTCCATCTATGTATCTGCTTAGCTTCCATCACTGATCCTGGTACTTGAGATTCCAGGTGTGGCTTTAAACAATGTTTTAAGGGCCCAACACTCAGCTCACTCAGTTGATGGTAGAACAGTGGGTCGAGGTCTTTGTGCGATGTTGTAGCAGGGACTCCACTTCTTGTTTTCTCTTGCTAACCAGATTGCATAGGAACATCTGAGAGCAACCAAAGCCGCTTCTTGGAACACTGCTTTCTTTACTCTCTTTGTAACACCAAAGTAGTTTAGTAGGGCTGGTAAGGTATGATGCCAGAAGCCTCTACACCCAACCTCTACCGTAAAAAGCTGAGCTTTCCACCCACTGCCATGCAGCCCAGGAATAAGCTCTCTGTTGTAACGTGCTTGTTT